CCCCACACCTACACCCCCTGTTTGTCTCCATTCCTCCACTACCGCAGCCCTCGCCACACTCACCTTCGCGGCCTCGAGAAAGCTCTGCTCAGCCTTCGCGCTCGGCCACGGGTTCTTGAACCCGTCCGGCGTCGCGCCCTTCCAATGCTCGCCCCGTACATGCTCCGCCTCAGGCGACAGTGCTACCTGGGGCACGGCGGGGGTCTCTGTACTACACCACATTCTGAGGATGTTGCGTGCGGATGGTGCGATGGAGGGAGTGGCGATGGGGAATGGGCGGGACGCGGATGCGTGTGATGTGAGTGCGCGGAGGGAGGCGCGCATGAGGCTGTGAGATCTGCGCTGAGCGCCTGGAGGCTGGTGCCGAGGGGGGAACAGAGAAATGCGGCAGTGGTCGCTACGAAAATGATGGCTCGCAGGCCCGGCGGGCAGCCACGTGCGTCATGAAAAAGTAGACGCTCAAGGCGAAGCCGAGGTGGAGTGCTGGAGATGGCCGAGGGCCGATTCCGAAACCGGAGATGGCGGAAGATGACGGGGAGCTTGGCATCGTTTCATGTTGGATGATCAGAAACGTGGTGGGCCCAATATTGATGTCTCATCAGCAAACCAGCTGCACCCGATCGTGTCCCGCTCACAGACATAAAGCAACTTTGAGGTATGTACGGTCCACGTTCGCAGGTACTCAAATTCTGGATATCTACTTCTATACGATTGGGTCCCACTGCGCCTGGCAATTACAGTGCTTCTCCGTGCCGGTGTCGAAACCGCCCTGTCCAAGAATCACTACAGTAGTTGCGTATGTTTGCGCTCGCACGAGGCAGAAATTCTCGTCCATCTGACTGTCCGCATGCACCTCAGCACACCGGGCCTTCATACAGGAGTGGAACTCATCGTCGCACGTGTTCTTGCTCTTGCTGCACGTCGAGTAGCAGTTGTCGTGGCCGTTGCAACAATCAAGAACAATCCAGTCATCAACCGGGAATCCACCTGGACGCCCACACCCATTGGGAACGATGGGAACGTCGTTCTGCACCGGTACATGGCCTGCTGGGCAGCGCCCCGTGCGATCAGGATACGGCGTCATGTCGGGGGAGCTATTCGGGCGAGTGGGAGGCGACGACGACTCTGGCGCCGGCTCTGGAGTTGTCTCAGGGGCGGGTTCGGGGGCGGGCTGGGGGGCTGGGGGAGGGTTGGCCACACCTCCTCCTCCCACTCCGGAGCCGTTGAAGAGTGTGCTCCAAGTGAGCACACCCACGATCCCGTCAACATCCAGACCGTCACGGCCTGGAACGATAAGATTGACCCGTACGTGGTATCGCCAAATTCGCCATCCTCGACCAGCATTGCGTGGCCGTCGGCGACGCGGGCGTTGATTGCGGCCTGCGCGGCCGCGACAGAGGGGCCGGACGATCCGCGCGACACGACCTCGACGAGCGCGCCCAGCGTCGCTGGGCCGGGAATGCCGTCCGCCTCGAGGCCGCGCGCAGCTTGGGCGGCCGTAACAGCGCCGGCCGTCTCGGGACCCCAGATACCGTCGGGTGTCACGCCCAAAAGATGCTGGAGGGCGCGAATGAGGTCAGCGTCCGCGTCAGAGCCGGCGTACGCCCCCGCGCCCAGTGTGCCCACTGCGCGGGCCAGGAGGCGGGCCTCCATCGGCGGCTATATCAGCGGGGCTCAGTCAGGCGGGCGACTCACGACGGACCGCATCATCTGCACGTCGCGGCCTACTGGGACGAGGTCGTGGCTGGCGACGGGGTGCGGGCGCGCGGCGGCGCCCGTCGCAAGTGCTAGTAGGAGGAGGAGGGGAGCACGCATGGTAGTGTATTGGTGTGGGGAGCACGTCGCGCGTGTCGCGTTTTAAATATGGTGAGCGGCCGAGCGAGAACAACAATGCGCGCAAACGGGCAGGCACTCGGCATCCGGCGAGATCGCATGCATTGGTGCTGTTGTCAAGCAGATATGTACAGAGACGCGTTAACCTTGACCTGGATCTGAAACGCACGTCTGGTCGCATTGCTGATTAGAGTTCACGATAAGATGCCGTGGAAGCTGGGCCGATGTGCCGCTGACACCGGCACGCACGGCTTCTACGCGTTGTTGTAAGCTTTATCCCGCATCGGACCTTTTCGCACACGCATAACGCTGCTAAGCGGCAGCCGCTCCACAAGGAGGTCTGCATTTGCTGCACGGTGCACATCCGCTTGATGCAAGACTCGAAAAGCACTGCCGTCCGTATGGGAAGGCTCTCAACTCTAATTTATGCTTTGAGTGTCAAAGCCCACCGGAAGCAGAGAAGTTAAACAGCGACGCGTCGATCACAGCGTTCATCGCTGGGAATGAGTCGGTCGAGGCGGCAGGCGAAGGGCCCATGAAGGAGAAATGGCAGTGCAGAAATTGGGGGTATGCAAACTACTGTAGGTGAAGGCTTGAGTCGTAACAGTACTGTGGAGCCCAGCCACGTTGTATAATCCTGATTCACAATGCCGTCTGATGTCGATGGACTTCTGGAAAAGGCGTCAGTTATAGTACCCCACTGCAGGGAACGCGTTCACGCCGGCTTTGAGGTTAAAGAGGCAACGGGTGATTCACGGGTCCAGTACGGGAGGCAAGGCAAATGGCGGTCTCCACAATATGTGGTTTGGTCGGAAGTTTGCAAGACGCGAGCGCAGGTGCTGAGTCAATGCCTGGCTGAACTAGTTCCAAGCGTCAAACGCTTTGTCGTCTCTTGAGATCCATCGCGTTCTCGGGGCGGCTAAAAGCCTGACGATTCATTCGTCCCCCGAAGACGTTTTGCTGACAGCGGTCGCAACTCCTCGTGACGTTGTTGTTGGTGAGGTTCTAGACCCGAGAAGCTGTGGGTGTGACGAGGGATGGCGCTGATGGGCCTGGGCCATTCAGGACCATAACTGGTCGTTCGCAAGCAGGGAGTCGGGCTTTGTGACTAAGCGCGTCCTCACGCCCGCTGGCTTGGCCTCGTGTGAAGAGGAGTTGGGGGTAGATATACCGGGTCGGCGTGAGTGGGGCGTTGAAGGAGAGCTAGGGGGTTGTAACTGCAGTGAGAGGAGAGCACAGATGTTCGGAAACAAGAGAATGACGAGAAAGGCGTGGCGCCACACAGCCTCGGCTGATCGATGGGGTGAAAGTGGCGCAGTGGCGGCGCAAAAGGGCAGGCACACGACTCCACTTGCGCCGATTTCTCCTTGCTCCCATGCCCCGTCTCATACGATGTTAACGAAAACAGAAGTGCACGGATCACCGATTTACCGTCGGCCGAGAGTATCTGATAGGCCCAATCTGATAACTTTTGCGCCCTTCTGCACCACCCGCACAGACAGCCTCGTCCTGTCTCCCCTTCGACGTCCCCGTCCGCTCGTTGTCCATCTGTCGAAAGTCCGTGACACCCTCGGCCGAACACATGGGATCGGCTGGCACTGTTGTTGGGAGCAGAGGGGAATAGAGCGCCTACCTGCACAGCTCCGACAGCCAGAATCTCGTTTAATAACGGTTACACAGCGCGCGAGCGCGACGCCCGAAATCCGCAGCACACGATTCCCGCAACCGAAACAGGGCGCTCGGACCGCGGGGCAAAGCTGGTGCGCCATTCCTCCCACCCCGCTTCCCATCTCATCCCGTGCACGATAAATATTGCGGTTGCATCCCGCTTCTCCCTACTCCACCAAACCCCCACAACATCCCCTCCAACCTCTACCCTCTCCCACAACTCAATGAAGCTTTCCACACTCATTACTGCAACTTCTCTGCCCGCCCTCTCGCTCGCAGCTTCGATCCCGCTTGCTGGGCGGACCCCGAGCCTCGGGGTCCGCCAGGCCTCGCAACCCAGTGCCCCATCGGAGAACTGCGCCTGGGGTGCGCAGACTCTAGACCACGCTGACGCCAGATGGCGACCACTGGGATTGCTTTGACGCTGCCGACAAGGCCGAGGCCGTTCGCCTCGCATACGCTGTCGGCCAATGTCTTGTTCATCCTGAGGGTGAGTCGCGGCATTCCATTCTAAGCTACATCACAAGCCGCACCCTGCACGCCACATCGAGTTTGCTCCTGGCTGGCGTGACCCGATGTTTCCATCACATTTTGGGACTCCGTGTTCTGTAGCTGACGTCAGACGGTTCTCGGTAAGACTAACTGGTCCAATACCCCTTCAATATTAACAAACAGCCACGGCAATTGCACCAACCTGGCCGCCGGCGCTCCCGTCTGTGGCGAAGTCGTTCTCGGCGAATTCAACATGCCGATGCATGTCGCCTCCATTTTCATCGTACTCGTCATTTCTGCTCTGGGTGTCTACCTCCCCACTATCGCCGGTTGGTTCGTGAAGGACTCCAATGGCGCCAAGTCTGTAGGACACCTTGATGCTGCCTCATTCGGCCGCGAATACGGCTTCTGGCGCAATGTCTTCTTCCTCGTCCGCCACTTCGGCACGGGCGTCATCATTTCCACCGCCTTTGTGGTAAGTTCATCCCTGAGGAAGACTCGCAGCAGTCTCAATTAACCCCAGCACCTGCTCTACCACGGATTCCTTATGTGGAATGACAGGTGTCTTGGCACTCTCCTCTTCGCGCCGGTAGCACCGACAATTGCGATGGTCGGTGCCCTCATTACCTTCGCCCTTGACTTCGTCGCCTCCCATGCAGCTGAGAAGCGCTTCGGCGTTGGTGGTCTTAACTCACCGTCGCCCGTCAGCGTAACTCCTGACCACCACAGTGTCGCCGACACCCACAGCCATGCTGAGAAGGCCACCACCTCCCACGCCCACGACGGCTGCTGCCCTGACCCCGAGGCCGCCATTCTCGCTTGGCAGAACAAGGAGCTTTGGCGCGTACTCCTCCTTGAGGCCGGTATTATTTTCCACTCGTACGTGCACATCTCAGCGCAAGCTCACTACAGCGTCATGATCGGTGTCACCCTTGGCGCCGACTCATCCTCCTCCTGGACCACTCTCTTTATCGTCATCATTTTCCACCAGTTCTTCGAAGGTGCCGCCCTCGGCGCGCGGCTTGCCCTCCTCCACTGGCTCAGCAAGACCCACTCCTTCCTTCAGGCATCCATGTTTATGGTGAGCGGTCGACTCCATACTGCCGAGCTAACGCCAGATCGTTACCCCCATTGGCATCGCGATCGGCATCGGAGTCCGTAAATCATTCTCGGCCAATGGCACAGCAGCTCTCATTTCCATCGGCGTTCTTGACTCAACATCCGCCGGTATTCTGGTACGTTGTGCTTCACCCCAGCCCTCACAACCTAACACCCAGCTGTACACCTCATTCAAGCTCCTCGCCGCCGACTACGTCGACGGTCCTCTCAAAAACGCCAACAAGAAGAGACTATTTGCATCCTTCTTCTGTCTCTTCCTCGGCATTCTCGCCATGACCATTCTTGGCCGATGGGTCTAAGGCTCAAACAAATCCACCCCTTACGCCCCAAACACGCGCAACGCTTACGCGACGGACAATACACGAAACTCTTGTATATTAGGTGTGATTGGCAGACACGACATAGATACTAGCGTCATGATGTACACGCATAGACTGTCCAGGAGGACGAGGGAGCGGGGTGGGCCTTGGTCATGCTCGAACATGACTAGATTGGTTGAGGATTAATCGACCAGTTTGACCTTTAATCCCGCCTTGAGATCACCCATAGTGTGATTGAAGAGGCACACAGGCCGGTTTGCAGTACGCTTATCAACGCCGTGTGCACGCTTCCTTGTGACTGGGGTTCAGCTGTGCGAGACCTACGGGCTGTACGCAATCCTCAAATCTGGAAGCCGGTTTCGTGCCTGCTGCACTGAGCCCAAAGACACTTGGGGTGATGGAGTCCCCAATAGGAGCAAGCTCGAATTGCGCGACGACATTAGATGGAGGATGGCAGCAATCTAGTGCTCAACAATAATAAACACTCCGGCTCGGCGTGTCTTACTGGAAGGAGCCGATGCCAGAGCGAAAGCATGCAACATCGTGCTGGGGCGTCAGAGCGACCCGCCCACCTGCACTGTAGTTGTGTACACAGCTGGACCTGCACACATGTGATCCGCACAAATATGAGGCCCGTTAGCATGCCTTGGTTCCTGGGAGCTGCGAGTGCAGATCTTGCGATATCACTCCGGCTGACACCAGGATTAAGCTTGTTCAGCACTGATCAGCTCTGGCTCCAGGCACTGAATGTTGTTCAGAAGTATTCATGTGCTGTGCAGACCATGTACGGCTCCACAATATCACTAGGTAGCCTGGCGCGTGATTGCCTCAGCGCTTGAGTTGAGACGCCTGAGACACCTAGTTGCCTGAGACGGGCAAGGCCGCTCCGTCAATGGCCGTGCGGCCCAAGCGTATGAAACCTCAAGAGCGTCCGAGCATTCCGGGCGATTGAAAGTAGTTAAGAGTCCCGTCTTCGATTTACATCGCAACTCACTGCATGAGGACCCCAAATGCTCGCTTCATTGTTCGTCCTAACGCTCGCTGCTGCGACGGGCGTTGGTGCCACTGCCATCGGGAAGTATGTGTGTACTGGACCCGATTCAGCGCGGATATGTACGCACCCCACCACATACGCAAACATGACTTTCCCCCGCTCCACCGGGGATGACTGGTGTGAGCCTCCTCCGACGATAACGCTGACGACAGGGACGGAAAGCGCGGCGGTGGTGTGGGCATGGGACGAACGCAATGCCGATGAAGACTTGCTTTTCGCCCTCCGCGCCTTCCCGGGCGGCGGCGAGATCACGCACGACTGGCACCCCGAGACGCCCAAACCTCTCGAGGGACTGCTGGATGCCAGTGAGGATCTTCAATTTCAGGCTGACCGAAGGTGCGCGTGCGACGGATCGTAGCGCTGTGTTCCCACTAAAGTTCGCGCTGCCGGGGCAATGGCTCGGAGAGGGCAAGTTCCGCGTTTTGCTTGCCCGCCCGATCGGGCCGGACCACTGCACAACGGCAGCCGGCGTGCTAGCTGATGCTTCGGCTGGCGGTGGTGCGTGCTATTACACAGCCACCCCGAGCGTATGGGGAATTGTAGAGGTGCGAAGAAGCGGGGTGGAGATGCCAGAGGTAGCCGCGATCAAGGCTGGGACCTTTGGTCTGCCATCCCCGACCCCGGCGGTCGCTCCTCTCAGTGCTACCTCCTCGAGTGCGGCTGGTTCCCTCCGCATACCCGCCGCAATGCTGCTCCTGGGGTCCGTTGTGGGCATGTGGTAGTGCGGCCGCGATTCAAGATTGTGTGTGGTGGGGATAGCATAATCACACTATCACTTTGTCTGCAGCGGAAATGCACGTCTGTCGTACAATTCGCCGTTTGCAGTGGGCCGACAATGCGTAGGACTTGAGATTGCTTATACATAGTACAGTAGTCGGGAGGCAAGGCAATCAGGGCAATGGTTGGTTGAGGGTCGCCGCCAAGCCCCCCCGAGGTCCGGTTGGCCTCAGCATCCACACGAAGCGCGCGAGCCATAGGGCGCACCGGGAACACAGTCAAGCGGGACATACATAAGCCGGGCTGCAGCAAGCGTCCCTCTTCATCCCCATCATGCTCATCTCCACGCTCATTTCTCTCTTCGCCCTCCCCGCCCGTGCCCAGACGGGCTTGAACGGGTACCATCCCATCATACCCGTGAACGAGTACTCTGCCAGGATCACCTGGCCCCAGGCATCCGACTACTGTGCGTGACTCTGTCCAAAGCGATAGGTCTCGCTAACGACAGGGGTGTTGAATGGCACAGCCGCCGTGTCGTGGGACTACACGGGTCCATCAAACATTACGAAAGATGTCCTCTTCCTCCTCGTCCCTCTGTTCGACGTGCCAAACCCCGAGCCTAATTCAACGGCCTACTGGCTCCTCGACCACCGTGCGTCAGACATCACTAGGGCTGACGGCAGACGCGAACGCGATGCACAAGGCGACGGTCGTACCGCTCAAGTATGCGATGACTCACGATGTCCTGCCTGGCCGGTATGAGTTGTGGGCGACGACCGAGTACGGCGCCATCGGCAAGGCGCCACGAGTGGCGTGTGACTATGCCGAGAGCCACCTAGCATCGGTGCGCGGCAGCGCGCCCATGCCCGGCCGCGAGTGCTATGTGTTCAGGCATGGCCAGCCGGTCCTGTTTGAGATCAGGGGCAACGGGACGGACATGCCCAAGGCCGCTGAGATTGCCGGGCTCGCCGCGAGGGCCAACGGCACCTCGGGCACGGTGGGCCCTTCCGGAAGTGCTCAGTCCGCGTCGCCTACTAGTGGTGGCTACATCGCTTCCCTCTCCACGGCTGCAGCGGTGGTCGCGGGAGCTGTAGTCGCTGTTCTCCTGTAATCTGCTGCTGAATTTGAGTTGCGCTGTTCTCCGATTGATGTTCTCTCAATACTCGTTACCGCATTATTGTGCCTCGATGGACTCCATGCATCATAACGTGAGCTGTCAGTAGCGGAGGGTGTAGTGGGACTCAAAGTCGTACGCATGCGGGCCCGTGCGCAGGCAGGAGTATTCAAGATGAATCTTCGATTCGACGTTCATGCAACCGTACTCGATCTAACAGTCGAGGGATCAGATGCTAGAGCGGAATGGGGCTTACTAATTTTGAGCTTGATCGCCAGGAAGATCAACGCTGACGGCGATGTCGAGCTCGGCTGTCATCGCGCTGACCTCCGAAACAAATCAGGCTTCGGGCGCCGCCAAGCATGTGGAGCCCTTGCGGCCCTTGCGCCCCGGCGTCCTGGCGAGCACCGCCACCGCTCGGCGTCGCTTCGGTCGGCTGGGCGCGGAACGGTGCCTGTGCTCACCGCTTCCGCTTCGATCTCCGCGTCGATCTTATAGGGACCGGTGTCCATCCGGCACCCATGATCCCTCGCCACCAGCACTCCCGTCTACAATGAGCGCCCAGCGCCTCCTCGACCCTATCAACCCGCCCCTCGTCGCGTTCGGCCCCACGCGTGCGGCGCAGACTACGCTCACGTTCAGCGTGAAGGCGGTGGGCGGCAAGGTGCGGAGTGCCGCGTCGGGGCTTACGCAGGACACGTTTGACGTGTTGGACGACAGCAGGGTGCTGTTCCACGCGACGGCGGGGGGGCTGCGGCTGAAGAATATTACGCGTGCGTCGTGGAGGTGGTGAGGCTGACGCAAGGCATCACAGACATTACCGGCGCCGGGCTGTGCAACATCACCGCCTCGTACCAGGGTTCCCTACAACGCGCGTTCACGGGCATGGATGCGGAGGGGACAGTGTTCCGCGCCGAGAAAAAGTGGTCTTGTACGTCGAGGGAAGCAGCGCTGACGCAGGGGGCACGAAGCTCGTGGTCTCATCCCCCGGGCTTCAGCACACCCTGGTCGTATTGGGATACGGGTTGATGCGGAGCGCCGAGGTCACGATGGACGGGCAGGTGCTCGCGGTGTTTGAGCGCGAGGGGTGGGGACGCGGACTGATGTGGAATTCCAAGTCTGTAAGTGACAGGATGGGCGGGCTGATATTTTGTACCGCCTGACGGTCGCCGCCGGGGTCGATCTGGCGCTCATGACCGCCCTGTGCATTATTTTCGACGAGTGTAAGTTCGACGATGCGAAGCATGGGTAGGCGGGCAGAATTGGGGGTAGTGGCGTGTGTACAGTAGCTGGCTATGAATGATGCGTGATTGAACGCGCTTTGTACAATACATATCGAGCTCTCGGACAAGGAGACGTCCAGCTGCGAATTTATGCTCCATAGACTCCTACATCGCGTCCTCAATTCAATGTCCACAACCATTGCTCGCAAACATCGTCCGTTTATCGCGTTGCAGCCTGTTGAAGCCTGGTGTAAGGTCATGTTAACTCAGGCCCTTCCACTCACCATGCTGCCTGGCCTCCAGATCGGAGATCAGATAGGAGCCACAATCCACTGCTGGTTCGGGCCGCAAGTACTACACTCAGCCCAACCCCGCCAAAACTTACCACTCCCAAACCTGGACGAAGTTTCGACCAGGCTGACCGTCCGGGACATCTAAACAGAGATCTGTTTCAGCGCCGTGCCGCCGCCGGACGCACCATAATTTCGGAGCCGGATCTGGCTCCCCTCCACAACCCACTGCTGCTGCGTGAGGCCGTCGTAACAGTCCCACATGTGCACGCGCGCACCGTTTCCCGGCGCTACTGTCAGCCCTCCTCCACGGGAGGCGTACACTCGCCGGCGTCCAGACACTTGCGCTCGCCCAGCGTGCCCGTCACGGCGATTTGGCCGCTGATCTGCCACGCGCGGCAGAAAAACTGTGGTAAGGATGCCGGGCGCGTACAGTACCTTGGGCGCGTCGGGTCCGCTGGTGTAAGCTGATACGATGTGGGGCTTACACGTAGGGCTTGATGCCGTTCTGGATCGGCGTCGGCGTGTAGATTGGAGAAGTGAAGATCTGTTCGAACTCGAAGAAGAGGCCCGGCGCGCCCGCCCACTTGATGGTCGACCGCGGGGGCACGGTGGGCGAGGGAGCGGCGGCGGCAAGGAGGGCCAGGATCGGCGGGAGCAGGGCGATGGTGGCGAGCATGGTGGAGAGATGGATGAGAATAAAGGAAAGCCGACGTAGACTTAAGTATGCGGCGAGAAGAACACGGGGGCCTAGTCAAGGTGAATGCTGTTGGAGGTGAGTGGGACAAGCCTTGCGCCACTCAACCTCGCACCTCGCCACCGCCGCTCACATATTCCGCATTCCGCAACGCCTGTCGATCTCGACGTCACGGCGACGCAGTCCGACGGATTCGGGGATGGCGGGAATGCTTCTGCTGCCGCTGCCTCCAGCTGAGTCGATGAAGCTATTTCCGCCCGTCACCGAAGTTCCCGCCGCCAGACTACCGAGCTCATCCGTTAGTCCGTGAGTTTCCTTCGTGTCAATTTAGCTCGCACGTTCAGGTGAACCTCACCTGCGACACCCTCCCCTTGCCATCGTGCACCTGACTATATTACATAGACTGCAATCCCAAAGCAAAGTCAACGCTCTTCCGTCTACAGAGGCCACTCGATCGCCTGCGACAGGTTCTGGTGCACCGCCTTGACCTGAGTGTACGCCTCGATTCCGTAGGTTCCCAGCTCGCGACCAATACCCGACTGCTTGAATCCACCGAAAGGCACGCCAGCATGCAGCAGGCCGTACTGGTTGCACCAGACAGTGCCGGCATCGAGGGCGCCGGACACGCGAGTCATCTGCTTCGCGTCGTTGGTGAACACACCCGCGGCCAGACCGTACGTCGTGTTGTTGGCCAGCTCGAGCGCCTCCTCCTCCGTCTTGAACTTGGCGGCGACGATGACGGGGCCGAAGATCTCCTCCTGCACCACCTTCATGTCGGGCTTGACGTCGGCGATGATCGTTGGCTCGATCCAGAAGCCGCCGCCGGACTGGGGCCACTTCTGGCCACCCGTGACAATGCGGGCGCCCTGCGACCGCCCACTGTCGATGTAGTTGAGGACCTTGTCGCGCTGGCCCGCGGAAATGAGCGGCCCGAACGACGTTTTTTCGTCGCTCGGCTGCCCGATCGCCGCAGCCTCTGCGCGCCGCTTCAGAACCTCCAGGAACTTGTCGTACACACTCTCCTGCACGTAGATGCGCGAGGACGCGCAGCAGTCCTGTCCCGAGTTGAACCAAATGCCGAGCGACGTCCAGTTCGCGGCCTCCTCTAGGTCGGCAGAGTCGAAGATGATCAGCGGTGACTTGCCGCCGAGTTCGAGAGTCACCTTCTTGAGGTTGGACTCGGCCGCGGCGACCGAGATCTTGCGACCGGTAACCACGGAGCCCGTGAATGCGACCTTGTCGATGTCGTGGTGGCGCGCAATTGCCTCACCGGTCGTCGCACCCAGGCCAGGCACAGTGTTGATCACACCGGCGGGGATGCCCGCCTCCTTGGCGAGGTCACAGAGCATGAGCGCCGTAAGAGGGGTGAGCTCCGACGGCTTCATGACTACACAGCAGCCCGCAGCGAGGGCGGGGCCGACCTTCCACGCCCACATGAGGAGGGGGTAGTTCCAGGGAATGCTGGTGTCAGATTCCGCCAAGGTGTTTAGATAAACTCACATCTGGCCACAGACACCAATGGGCTGGTGGAGGGTGTAGCAGAGCTTCTCGTCACCAAACTGGTCGATTGTCTGGCCAAAGATCTTGTCGGCGAGACCCGCGTAGTAGCGGAGACAGGCGACCGAGTCGGCAACATCGCCCTCGCGCGCGATACGCACACCCTTGCCCGAGTTGAGCGACTCGACGGCGGCGACCTTGGCGGCGTCACGCTCGAGGAGATCGGCGAGCTTGTTCAGGACTGGCGTTAGCTTCTGCCTCGTGGGAGAGCTCACGCGTCCCGCGCTCAGCGGCAGCGACCTTGCGGCCCCAGGTGGTCTTGAAGGCCTTGCGGGCAGCTGCGACGGCCGCATCGACGTCCTCCTTGCCGGCGTGGGCGACGGCGACGAGCTTTTCGCCAGTGGCAGGGTTGACAGTGTCAAAGGTCTCGCCGGACTTTGGGGCGACCCACTCGTTGTTGATGAAGAGGCCGGTGGGGAGTGAGACCTTGCCGAGGGAGGGGACGTCGACTTCGGTGTGCGTCATGGTGAAGGTAGGTTGGGGTGGGAAGAGCTGAGAGAGGAGACAGGAGGTTGCTGAGAGATGAAAGAGGCTATGTATACTCTGCGGCAGCTGTGGGGGGAGGAGGCGAGGCGGTGGGCGGGAGAACCGTGATACGGCGATGAATGCCTGGGAATGTCACCGCGTACACCGTACCACTGTACGAGCCACAGAATGTGGGGTGTGGGGTATGTCATGTGTGGAGGCCCATCACGTGCCTATGATTGGCATTTCTTACCGAGCATTTCACCCGAGCGCTCCAATAGGATATTCCCACGACTCAATTATCCGTCCCATCCTCCTCGTCTCAGTCGCTTGCAGTCGCGTCAAGATCGTCTCCCTCGTCAATCCCACCCCTGCACCTCGTCTCAGCGCACTCCTCACCCATCTCCGTGCCAGTGACAAAACAGTGGGGGGTCGCGCCTGAACTATGAAGTAGACGCGGGTCAGGTATGCGTTCACTAGAGCGCTATCTGAGTGCCCTGATAGCTGATCGGTATCGGAGAGCGGATGATAGATGTATCGGCTATCGGTATCGGGCGGAGCAAGCGGCGCGCGCGTCGCGCGCGTGGATGCTGCATACGAGAGAATGCGGGCGCCTCGATGGCTGAATACGGGCTGAAGGATTTGAGGATGGTGGGCAGCGTTCACCAGGTGCCAAGCGCCACGCGGGAGTCACCGGGTGACTGGTAGGCGCATGGCTGCGGGTTGCTATTCTGGTTTGGCAGCGGCGGTGGCTGCTCGGTGACTGCTTCTCATGGCCGCCTTAGAGGGACCATGATGTCGCGCCCTCAGCGGGTGGCCGGGGACTACCTGTGGTCAGTCAGTATGGGAAGGAGGTGGAGACTGAGGAGACACGTGAAGAGACCTTGACTGGAGAGAAGCGATGCAAAGATAGCGAAGAGAGATGAAGAGATGATGAGGGAGAGTAACGAGAGGCAAGGGGGCGGTAGTTGCCGCCGTCACCGCAGCTGGAATAGCATACCGCATCTCCTCCTCGGCCTGTGCCTTGAATGGCCCCCCTCTCCACTCAAGTCACTAGAGTACTCAACACCACCTTCCCTCTCTCACTACACAACATCGTCAATCCTCGTCAACTGCTGCGCGATTTATTCAATTCCCTCATCCACCCATCATATCCCTCATCACCTTAACACCTTCCTTCCCCCATCGTCATGGACGACCAACCACGAGAGATCAGGAAGCGCACTTTACGAGCATGCGACGTATGTTATTCTCTTCTTCTCTTCTATCCTCGGAGAGTACATATACTGACATGCCTCTCCTCATCTCCATCCTCTTCTCGACTCTTGACTCTCGCGCGCATCTGACAGGGATGTCGACAGTGAGTCACCCATCACCCACTCCTCCCTGTCAGCCCCCCCCACTAACCACCCCCTCCAGTCGTCGCATGAAGTGCGAAGACCTACGCGTCAACCAGACCTCCGGCCGCAGCTCGTGCAAGGTCTGTCGCGAGAATAGGGAAGACTGCAAGTTCGATGCCCCAGTTAAGAAGCGGTGCGTTTGCGCTACTTGTTCATCCTCCTGCTCTTCCTCAACTCTTCCTAACGTCCAGCGGTCCAAGGCCCGGATGGCGACAGCGAGCGCGCTCGGCATCTCCCAGTCACCGCCAGCATGTACTTCAACATCCACACCATTCATCATCCGGACAGCAACACAGCCCAGACACCAAACTCCCCCTTCCTCCACCCACCTCCAATTCCCATTCCTCTGTTTTGCTCCACCACCAGCTCGCCGACACGGCCGCCACAACAAGAGATACCTCGCCTTCTCCTGAGGCCACACGGCGACATACCAAGGGCCCGTTGATGGGTCTATCCACTGCGCTCGTCGACGAACTGCTCGCCGTCTATTTCACCCATGTCCATGTGAGTAAACCTTGATCTCGCTGCCGCTGATCCTCTAAGAATGTCTGGCCCCTCATCTACAAGCCGCTGTTCCATATCCAGACGACCTCTCCCCCCTTGCTCCTAGCCATGCTGGCCATTGCAAGCTGCGTTGCGCCACCGGATTCCGTACATGGCGTCGACACCGACAAGCTCTTTCACATGGCTGAGCGGCAGATGCACCACTGCAGGATGGAATCGAGAATAGACCTCATCCAGTCCCTCATTCTGCTGTCACTGCGCCAGACGGGGTGCGGCGATAAGCACATGGCCTTTTCGTACGCCGGACGCGCATGCTGCATGGCGCTCAACCTGGGATTGAACCTGTCGCCAGCGAACTCGGAGTCTCTGGTAAGTCGCTCGCTCAACTTCGGGGCGCACGCTCATATCAGACCGAGTGTGAGATTCGATCGCGCGTGTACTGGAACTGCTATGTGCTCGACAAGACACTCGCAGAAGAAACCGGCCGATCATTCCTGCTGCCGTATCGCCGATCATCTACGCCGCTACCGTCGATGAGCGAGGCGGATGAGTTCGAAACATGGCCCCCACTGCCTACCTCGAGTCTGCCACTGCCCAAGAGCGTGAGGCACATCGTCCCTCGGCGCGGATACGTCATGTCGTGCTTTGTCTGGACTTGCCAACTTGGCATGGTGGTCGAAGATATACTCGACATGGATAGGCCAGGCCTTCCTCCAGGAACAGATCCCAGGATTGTGGACAACAGCCTACAGGACCGAGACGAGCTCATCCGACGTGCCGAGACGCTCTCAAATCGACTAGATGTATGGCGCAGCACCATTCCGCGCTCCATCGACGTGGACGTCATGGTTCAGAGCAACGTCAGCCCGTTCCCGCACCACGTTGTCGGCGTGTCATGGTACTACACGGCGCAGATTTTGCTGTTGTCGCGCTTCATCAAGCGGCGGAGCATGCTGCCTCCTACTGAGGCTGAGGCAGAGTTCAGCAAGCGCGCTCATCGTACATGCTCGGCTGCTGCTGAGGCAGTTGTCGAGCTGCTCGCGTATCTGGATCGACACAAGCTACTGAACCACACTTCCGCGGATATCATCCACATTCTTTCCCTCGCGACCCTCTTCGAGGCGTTTGACAGCTCGGACGCTGACCAAGCTCTCGCCGATCGTGCAAAGATGAACTTTGCGCAGTGCTGCATTTGGCTGCGTGACTGCAGTGCTTCATGGCCGGCCGCGAGCGCACACAAGCTCTTCTTCGAGGGCCTGATCCAGGGTGGCCTCAAACTCTCGGGCGACGCACCAGTCGGCAGCCCAGAAGTAGCGACTTCGCCCTCACTCCCCGAAGGCCTGCGCGCCGTCGGCCGCAACCTAAGCACGAGCGAGCGCGACCTCCCGCGCGTCTCTCTCCCGCAGGGCGGCATCTCCAACCTTTTCCAGTTGCCCCAACTGTACTGGAATCACCTAACGAATCAAATGCCCGTGCCAAACCTCGGGCTCGACCTGCTGTCACCCGACGCCGCGGGCTCGGTGCTGCCGGAGTGGCAGACGCCGGAGAGCTTTAGCGTCAACGGCAGATTCGATGGGATGGGCTTTGCGCCCTCCGATCCGCCGAGTACGGGAGGTACGGGGCCGGGGGCGTTTGGTTGGGAGCCGCCGATGGACCCGAACCCGCAGGGCTCGGACCAGGCGGCGATATACTCGGCACTGATGAGTTTCATGGTTGAGGCAGCGAAAAGCCACTGATTGTTGTACACGTTGTATTTTTAGTGGCAGTTGCCATGTTACGCGGCATTCTAGAAGCCCAAAGAGGGTGACATCGTAAGTCACCTAGAGTTGTGGCGACGGCATCAACTCTTGGCATTCCGTTCAAATTTCCCAGCCTCCTCTGGGCGACAACCCGTGCTGATCAGTAAGCTGATATCAGACATATCAGGCGGCTGATAATCAAGATAACCAGATCTGTCCGGCGTTTCCCGAATCTGGCTCGGACTGACCACGATACGACGGAGAATCAGCCAAACTGATCCGTTCAGCCACTTTACAACGTCGTGCCGGCCATCCTGCACCCGCAATCCTCACGCAATCACCCGCCGACGTCTACTTCCGGACAGTAGCGCCTGCCGCCTTCACGCGAGGTGTGGTGCAGGTGCGTAGGGCGCGTAGGCGGGTATTCATGGATAATCGGACCACAGCAGGTCAGGCGAGGCAAGCGAGATGGGCGCTGCACAGTCCGGTGAGCGCTCCCATTCTGAGGGCAGATCTCGATGCATGGGGCGGATCTGAAGAGTGGATCTGGGGACAGAGGAGGATCCGAAACTCGAGGAACATCGTTATCTTGGTATGTGGCGACGATGAGGAACGCGGCGGTGGTGGGGTGGGCGTGGTCCGTGCGTCTCACGGGGACGAGGATCAGGATCAAGATTTTGCATGACTAGGAGTTAGAGGGAGCAAGACAATGACTAAGACTTGCAAAGACCAACGTGTAGAACGAGCAAGACCAACAAGTGGTACCAGCCAGCCTCAATGAGGACAACTACAGCAAATACTACGCGGGCGAAGACCGGACCTCGCCACACAACATCTAGTTGACAACACTGACGCTCTTGCCCTTGCCACTGTCATCGTCGTCGTCGACGGGCAGCACGGTGACGCTCGCCTGTTTCTTATTGGGATCCTCGGTGGGCTTGACGCCCGCCTGGGTTGCGAAATCCGCCGCGATCTCGTCGGACAGATCCTCGGTCCGCGGGCCGGTGAAGTAGTGCCGCCCACTAGTGAACCAGAACACGGTGGCGAAGAGCCACACGGCTGCCGTGACGACGATAGCGTAGTTCATCTCCCCTGGCGCCGGGTTCTTGTCCCCTGGGAAGGAGAAGAGGACGAACGCGAATATCATCCACACGACCGCGACCCATGCGACGGGCACACTCGCGCGCCCGAGATACCATGGCCCAGGGACGAACGTGCGTTTCCAGAAGATGCGTGCAAAGATCGGCACGCCGTACGCGACGTACGGGCCCATGATCGCCAAAGCGAAGATCGCGTTGATCGCGGCTTGGTTCTCGGGATCCGCAAAGCCGAGGAAGCCAAGGGGCACGGCGGCGCCGACGACGAGCCACACCGTGCGCACGGGTGTGCCGGTCCACTTGTCGACGTGGTGGAAGTAGTTCGAGAAGGGGAGGGCGCCGTCGCGTGCAAAGGCGAACGCTTGGCGCGAGGAGGGGAGGACGAGGGATGCCGTCATGCTCACCTGCGAGACACAGATGAGGGACCAGATGGCCAGCGAGCCCTTCTGCCCAAACGCCATGAGGTAGACGTATGCGAGCGGCTGGCCGATCGCGCTCTCGTTGACCGCGGCAACGTCAGGGCCCATGCTCAGCGCGACCATGATGAGGATCAGCGTGCCGAGGATGCCGGCCGAGGAGATGGCGCCTACAATTGCGGCCGGGACTGCGATGGATGCGTTCGCGGCTTCTTCCGAGATCGAGACTGCGCAGTCGAACGAGCAAATTGTCCATACCGGCGCGAGGAAAGAGAGGAGGAATGCGAAGCCATTAGGCCACGAGGTGAGATTCGCCCAGCCCCCGAATGTGAACTTGGCCGAGTTGAGCTGGCCGCGCCGCGCAATCGGCAGCCCGATGATCGTGACCAGCGCCAGCACGACGTTGAGAATCACACTCGGCGTCTGCAGGCGCGCAAAGACCGTCGTGCCGTACGCGCAGAAGACGCCGCAGAACACCAGGATGCCGATGTACAGGCCTACCTGGGCGCCGATCGAGGCCGAGAAGTCTTCGTTCGCGACAGACGCACAGGCAAAGAACATCCCTGAGCACGCCCACGCCAGCGACGACACCGCCGCAACGTTGCCTAGGAAACTGTTGTATCCAACGAACCACGCCAGGAAGTTCTGGTACTTTGGCGGCGCGAGCCGGTGCGTCCAGTAGTACAGGCCGCCCGAAGTCGGCATCGAGCTCGCCAGATCGGCCATCGCGAATCCGATGAAGCTGATGAGCCCGGCGGAGAGGAGCCAGCCCCAGATCATAGATACGGGGCCACCGTACGGCTGGCGTCAGCGGGGGGGTATGGTTGGGAGGTTACTCACCAGGTTGTACCAGATCGTACTTGCGATGGAGGGCACGACGCCCCTTGACGTCAGCGCCGATCTGCGCCGTTGTCCTGCTCACATGATGCTGAAGGCGACGCCGAACGTCTCGAGCTTGGAGAAGTTGCGCTTCAGCTCCGGGCGATACCCGAGATCCTCGAGACCGAGGTCATCCTTCGTCAGGTGCCGGTTGCGCGGGGGCTCGGGGCCCATCCCGAACGTGTTGTACGACGGGCCGTTTTTGGTGGCCTCCATGAGTGCGGTGTGTTGGCCAGAGTTGTGGTGGTTGTTGTGGTGGTGGATGTGAGAAGATGTCGAGGGCGAGGTTGAGATCTCGTGACGAGTGGAGTTCATGCCCGAATTGAATATTTCAGTCTCCGGAGAGCGACAACAGACTGATAGAGATGGCCTACTTCGCTTGCGATCCCGATGCTTGGCAGGTGGTCAAGTGGTCAAGTGGTCAAGTAGACTGTGGATACATGTGGTGCAGCCGCGGCAGGACGATGAGGGGAGGAGGACAGGTATCTTGCCGGAGTGATGCGTATCTCTCTATCTGGTGGCTTGGCCCAGTGGCTGGGCGGGCGGCATTCAACCCAACACATACGGGATCTTCGCCCCACAGTCACGCGACGTCCGGATCAACGCCACCATGTCACCAAGTCAGCCGCGTCTGCGCAGGGGTGGGGCGTAAGCGCGCGCTCTCGCAGCTCATGACCTCGATGCATGCGGGCACGACGAGTTGACCGAAGGGATGAACGGGAGGGGGATATACGGCCCTTCTCAATCAGGCGGAAAGATTATCCCCAGGCACATCGGCATGTTGCCGTATCTCTGGCGCAAACATCCGCCCACTTGACTCTGCACAGTCCGAAGCCCATCTCCGCAAGCTGCCGCCTCCAGCTGCCACTCCCGCTCTGGGCCTGCGTCGCCTGGCCCTACGCGCTCTTGGCCTCCGTAGCCGACATTGTCGGATGCAGCTGACTCTCCGTCCATCCTTCAAGTGGGCGTGGGGCACTACATAACCTCGCAGCTCCACCACTTGCTCCTCAACTCACTCACCACCACCTCCTCCCCACACATCATGGTCTCCACTACCAACCCCGCGAACGGCACCAAGCCAAATCATGCCCTCGGCGCCCACCCCCTCGACCCCTTGACGCAGGACGAGATCCGCGCCTCCGTCGCTGCCATCCGCGCCTTCGTCAAGAAGGGCGGGTATGACGGCGAGCCTGCCTCTCCCCTCTTCAACACCATCAGCCTCCGCGAGCCCCCCAAGGTCGATGTCCTGCGTTGGATGGGTCTCTTCTCCGATAAGGAGATTGCGGAGGTCGCAACCACGCAGCCGGCCCCGATCCGCCGTCAGGCCGACGTGAGTGTCTCATGCCAGGTGCCCGCAATAGCGGCCACTAATTCACCGACTCGCACTGACCCCAGCTCCACATCATCTGCAACGAGTCTAAGCGTTCGTTCGAGGCTATTGTCGACCTCCCCTCAAATCTTCCCGCCGGCGACGACGTTGCGGCGGTGTCCGAGCCCACCGTGTCCTCGTGGATTCTCCTTGGGCGCCACATCCAGCCCTCGCTCCAGACCGAGGAGCTGCTCTGGGCCGAGGAGATCTGCCGCAAGGATCCGCTCGTCAAGGAGGCATGCGATGCCGTCGGCATCAGCCAGGAAGATCTCTATGTCGACGGCTGGTGTATCGCCTATGACGAACGCTTCCCCGAGCGCCGTCTCCAGCAGTGCTTCTGCTTCACCCGCCTCCGCCCCGGAGACAACTTGTACGCGCACCCGTGCGACTTCATCCCGGTGATCGACTCGAACACGGGTGAGGTCGTCGTCATCGACTACCCCCACTGCAACGCCAGGCCGGGCGAGCCGCACCCGCCGTCCTCGGCCGAGGCACATGCCAAGGTCCCACCCCGCGAGCGTTTCCCGCCCCCCGCGGCGCCTGCAAATTACCTTCCTGAACAGATCGTGCTCGACGAACCAAACTTCAAGCTCCGCGACACGCTCAAGCCTCTCCATGTTATTCAGCCCGAGGGCGTGAGCTACAAGCTCACGGGTCGTGTCATTGAGTGGCAGAACTTCAAGTGCCACATCGGCTTCACTTACCGCGAGGGCCTCGTGCTTAGCGGTATCACGTACAATGACGGTGCCCAGGGCGAGCGTCCGCTCTTCTACCGCATCTCGGTCGCCGAGATGGTCGTGCCCTACGCCAAGACGACGTTCCCGCACCACCGCAAGCAGGCGTTCGACACGGGCGAGTACGGCATCGGCGCCCTCTCCAACTCGCTCGCCCTCGGCTGCGACTGCCTCGGCTCCATCACGTACCTCGACGCCAACTTCATCACGCGCGCCGGCGGAATCCAGCACATCAAGAGCGCGATCTGCATCCACGAGGAGGACGCCGGCATCCTGCACAAGCACACCGACTTCCGCGACAACAAGGTCCACGTCGCGCGTAACCGCAAGCTCGTCATCTCCTCCATCTGCACCGTCGCCAACTACGAGTACGGCTTCTACTTCAACTTCTACCTCGACGGCTCGATCGAGCTCGAGGTCAAGGCGACGGGCATCGTCAACGCCTACCCCCTCCGCGAGGGCGAGCACCCCGACCCAGCGCACGAGGTCGAGGTCGCGCCCGGCATCGCAGCCCAGCACCACCAGCACCTCTTCTCGATGCGCGTCGATCCCATGATCGACGGCCTCCGCAATCGCCTCGTCACCGTCGACTCGGTGCCGGACGAGGCCGACGTCGGCTCTCCCGAAAACTTCTACGGCAACGGCTACCACGTCGTCAAGACGCCCTTCACCAAGTCGGACCAGTTCTCTGACTACGACTCGACCAAGGCGCGCGCGTGGGTAATCGAAAATCCTCACAAGAAACACTACGCGACCAAGAGCAATATCGGGTACAAGATTGTGTGCAAGGACATGCCCCCGATGTTTGCCAAGCCCGGCTCGCTGGCGTGGAACCGCGCCCCTTGGGCCCGCCACCATACCTTCGTCACCCGCTACCACGAGGACGAGATCTTCCCTTCTGAGCTCCACATCAACCAGCACCCTGGGCACAAGGACTTTGGCCTGCAGAAGTGGGTCGACCGCGCGGACGACGTGTCCGACACGGACTGTGTTGTGTGGAACATGTTCGGCAACTCCCACATCTGCCGCGCAGAAGACTGGCCCCTAATGCCAGTAGAGGTACTGAAATGGGCCGCCCGCCCTTTGAATTTCCACCGGATGAGCCCCTGCTTGGACGTTCCGTCGACAGCCGACCCGCGGTCTCGGTACGCCGACGAGGCATTTGTTGGCGGCAAGCCGGGCAGCCATGGCGCCAACGGCGCCAGCAGCGTCAACGGCCAGAGCAACGGCCAAGGAAACGGCAGCGGTGAATGCTGCGGTGGTAGGTAGGACGAACGAGTTGCAGGATGTGGGTACTAGCGAACAATACAGGGTTTGGGATCGAAGGGCTTCCACCCATGCCGCCACCACTAGTGAATGTACATGATGAGCTTGAGAGGCCATGGGCGGCATGGGCGAGGGGGCAGCGCTGGCAGCTGGCAGCCAGGGGCTGCTCGGTGTGCGTGCTGATAGCTGATAGCTTGAGGACGTGTAGCATTAGAGCGATGCAAGTCGACCAGAATTCAACGCGTGCCTCGTACTACTGTACACACTGAACCGGACGCGACCGGCAAGTGCTTGCTGGTCGTCCCAGCCTTGCTCGGCGCCGACTTAAGGCGGAGCCCTAAACAGTAGCAAGTGTGGAGGCATCAGTACACACCGTGATCTGGGGTTAGCTGGATCAAGGCAAGTTTTTTCGGTGACTCCACCCGCCACCGCACTATAAATCTCCCTTCCTTCTCTACCTGCTACCAGCTACCTGTACCTCATCTCTTTCCTGGTTCTCCACGTTATCCACAACACCTAGTCCGCCATCACCGCCATACCACCTCATCTCACTCCGTCAGCCTTCCTCCGCTTACGACGCGAGCACACACGCCCCTCATCCGCTCACAAGGCGAGCACACACGCCCTCACGCACACACACCGCCCAGCGGCGCCCCATTCATTCCCCCACCCTCCCACCCCTTATCATGCTCCGTGGTCGCCGTGGTCCTCGTACCGCTCAACGCGACGCCCTGCAAGCTGCACGTGGACATTCCGACGAGCAACTAGTCGCGGCTTACAAGGAATTTCGCCTTCCGGTCTACCGCTACGTCCAGGCGAGAACCATCAAGCGCAGTGACGCGCTTCAGGCCGAGGTTGACGCTCTTCTATCGAGGGCCAGGCCTACCATCTACGGTCATCAGATCACGTCTCTCGCCAACTACGCGGAGAAGAATCTTCCATTTCCCCCCCCTACACGTTATTCGCAACATCATGCTCAGTCATGCGAAGAAGTATGAGCGGCGACGGAAGAAGGTGAACAAGATCCCAACGGCAAGTCATATGAAGCAGTACTGGGTACAGTTCTGTGCAGTTTGGAACCTCATCATGCCCTCCAAAATCACCCCCAAGGAGCGCACCCTGATGAGGACGTCGCACTTGATGTCGCCGGGATACGCGGCTTCTGCAAGGATGTGCAGCACAAGCCGGTCATCAACTCCCAGTCGGTGCGCGATCTGCTGAAGGGCGTGTGGACCCAGGCGTTCACCAGGTGCATTCGACAGCGAGTCGCTATCATCACCTTCCTCGCGCTCTCCGTGAGTACTGGAGCTCGGCCTGGCACGTTTGTGCCGAATAGACTTGTCTTTTGGCGACTCGTCTCCCCCCACTTCTTTGATAGTTGTAACGTTTGACTAGATGCCCTTCAACAATTCTGAGGAGGCACGCAGCCGAAATTAACTTAGAGCTCTTGTTTGTCTGGCTTGCCCTGACTGTCATGGCGCCACTAACGGCTGCACCACGACCACGACATTACACGGGGTCCAGGTCGCGACGCGCAGAGAGACTTATCACGTGACTTGTGCTGGTCTAGAACCACACCATCTTAACAGCGGAACGCAAACGCCAATCACACGATGCATGATACGTCTGCACAATCTAATGCTGACAGCACGGGGCTGCATGGTCAGTCGCTCGGAATGCAGTAGTGTGCCCTCCATGAGAGTACATCCACATTCCGCCGCCAACGTCATTCACAACGCCGTCGGCAACTACCGCGCCGGCTGCCCACTTCCGCCCCTCATGTAAGCCTTGCGCCGGCCTCGTCCGGTCTTAAGACTGCTCCGGGGCAGTTGAGCGCCCGCGCCTTTCTTCTGCTAACACCTACACTATGCCGCAGCCCTGCTCTTTCGACGACCTTAAGAACCGCTCCGGCCCGCCTCTGAACTCCTGGGGCCTCTGGGGCGAGGACAACGAGCTTGGGCAGCTCAATCTCATCGACGCGGCTGCTGTCAAGCGCGGCCGCGACGCAGTTAAGCATGGCATTCCTGTGTGTCTTAAGTGAGTTTATCTCTTCCTTGCTTCGCGACGCCTGCTTCTATAGACCTTGTGGCCTCACGCTCCCCGGCTGCGTTGCGCCGCTGCTCCGCGGCACCGCTGACATCAGCCTTCCCATGAAGGGCCGTCCGATCAACCCCGGCCGAGGGACGATCCAGCATGAGCTCCTGCACAAGAACAACCACTTCGACGACAAGGTGACCTTCAACACGCAGTACAGCACACAGTGGGACGGCTTTGCGCATGTCCCGTACCAGAACTACCCGGAGGCCGGCAAGTACACATACCACGGCGGCCTGACGCACGACGACATTTTGGGCGGGTGCACCAAGTTCGGAATCCACAGTAAGGCAAGAGTGGTACACGCTGACGTAGACCTCGCGAAGCACCCCGTGACGACGCGCGCGCACCTGCTTGACATTGCGCGGTGGGCGGACAAGCACGGCGTGAAGCTCGACCACTTGAGCACGAACACGCCCATCACGCTCGACATGATTCAGAAGTGCGCGGCTGAGACCGGCGTCACCTTCGAGAGCGGCGACGTGCTCATCATCCGCACTGGATTCACTGAGGCCGTGTACAACCTCCCCGAGGACAAGTACAAGGACTACGACCCGATGAAGGGCGCCATTGGCGTCGAGCCCAGTCCTGAGCTCATGCGCTGGGTCTGGGAAACGGGAATTCCGGCCGTGGCCTCTGATGCGTGCGTTTATCATCTTTTGCAAACTGACAGCAGCTTCGCGTTCGAGGCGTGGCCGCCCAAGGCTCGCGGACCCATCACGCCTTGCGTCCACGAGGTGTTCCTCGGTGGTTGGGGCCTGCCCCTCGGCGAGCTGTTCGACCTGCGCGAGCTGAGCGAGAAGTGCGCCGAGCTGAACCAGTACACGTTCTTCCTGACGACCATGGCGCTCAACATTGAGGGCGGGGTGGGGTCGCCGCCCAACGCGCAGGCCATTCTCTAGAGCGATGCAGGAATCACCCTGGCTCCGTCAGGACCCGGACGTTCTCTTGACCATCACCCAGGCAATGTGGCGGAGTGGTTAACGCGATTGACTAGAATGAGCTAATCAATTTCCTTCGGGAGCGCCCGTTCGAGTCGGGTCATTGTCGATTCTTTTACTTTGAGAGGGGCTCAAAGGAGGAGTCGCGCACGTCCCTCTCCTGCACGCGACGAGTCAGTGTCACAAACCGAGGCGACCATTCCGTTGCATTCTCGCTCCACCCTCAGAGTACGACCACCTACGGACGCGGCGTGTTACACATTTCACACTTATCTACAGGCTCGTTACCGTACGTGCACAACGGGCACATCCAGCTTCCATGATTCGGTGTGGCGGCAGACGGGATATCACGGTCTGTGTCGCCGCGACGGATACCTAGGCCCACGCCTTCGATTGGCTCGACTCTCTTAGCTTGAGTTCGGCAGAGAGGCGAAAGCGGCGAGAGAGGAGAGGTGGGAGACAATTGCTGCGGGGACACAGGACGAGTTAAGAGCGTATTGGCGGCGCCGCACGCGCCGCACTCGACCGCATGGTGATCATTGTGCAGCGTGCACTGCGGGCAAGTCCATTGTGGTGCGACAGCGCCGCACGCCTCACATGTCGTGTTCGTGTTCGAAAGGGTGCAGATGGAGCACCGCCACGTGCGGGGCAGGGGGATGGGATCGAGGGGCGGGCTATCGGGCGCTGGACACCATGGCGAGAGGCCCGGCGATGGGTTGTTTCTTATCTCCGCAGATGGGCGGGGGAGAGCGGGCGCGTGTGGACCGAAGAACGGCGAGTTAGGCGACGACACGAAGGGAGACTGAAACGGCGTGGTTCTAGCTGAGCGCGATATCGTCGGGCGGTCGGGACCGGGGGACGGTGAAGGGAACGAGGCGGAGCGCTGCGAGTACGACGACGGGGCTCTGAGCGGCGTCGAGGGCGGGACAAGCATGGGGGACGGAGAGGGGCTGCTGCCGAGCGCGAGGCCGGGAGAGCCCCAAAGTGAGACATCAGCGGAGGCTTCGAGGGGGACGAGCGAGGGCGTGGGCGGGTCAGGCGGTCTGAGGCCTGCTGTGGGCGGGGGCGTGAGCTGGAATGCTGGGGAAGTGCCGGAGGCAGGCGCTCTGTCGGTGGTAGATCTACTAAAAGGGTCGAAAGCTGCGCCCTTAAGAGACATGGCTTCGAACGAAGCGACGAGGTCGTGCACGGGTGCAGCGTCTGCTTCCGTCGGTGCAGGTTGTGCGTACGTCGGGAGATGTATCTCCGACAACGGGACTTGAGGAGGGTGCACGCCCTGTGGATGCGGGCAGGACGGGGGTCCGTCAGTCGGAGTGGGCGGCGGCGGGCCGGGTAGCACGTCCGAGCCGATGGAGACCGCGCGGGTCCACGACGTGTACGTTCCTGGACTCGTTGGAGAACGTTTCGGAGTCTCAGGAGGGCGCTTGGCCCGGGTAGCAGGAGTTGCTGGGCTCGGAGACACCGGCTGCGGAGTGGGCGGGAAGGCGGTGGTGAGGTGGGGGGGCGCGGGCACGGGGGGCGTGGTGAGCCGTAGCGCTGGACGTGGCTCCCACGCCCCCCGGTGCGGAATGGGGTTGGTGGGGGTTGCGGCGGTTTGGTGGGGTGGCGTGGGTTGCGGGGGTGGGTAGGCGTGAATCGGAGGTGCCGTGAGGTAGCGGTCATGCGAGGCCAGTGCTCTGGCGCCGGAGGCGGCTGAGACTGCCGATGTTGCGGAGACATCGGAGAGGTGGCGGTCTTTGATGACTCCATTACCTGAGCTGGAGCCGGAGGTGCTTCTGTCCTCGCGTGACTCGGCGAAGGTGACCCCTTCGCCACCGTCCTCGAAGTGGTGGGGGTTACTCTCCCAGTCTGACTCCCATGCTGCGACCGACGGGAAACGCGCCTCGAAGCTTTCCTCGCTGTTGGTGTCCGTGTCAGCCCCGACGTTCACTCCATTGGGACGTTTCGTGGGTTTCGACATGCCGGAATTTGGACTCTTCAGTTTGCGAGGCTTAGGGGGGATAAGCGGGATGGCCTTGGCGCGCTCGGCGCCGTTTTGGTTGACGAGGACCCACTCCCCGCTCATTTGGTTGCTCGAGAGGTATTGGACGGGAGAGAGATTCTGAAGTACTGCAGCCTTGGGTCAGCAGTTCGCCCCTGCGAAGCCAGGAGGAGGCGCAGATGGTGAGTATGGTGACGACAGTGGTCAGCTTCGTCAGTGTGTGGCGTGTGAGCGTCGTTGAGGTATGTAAGGCGTATGGGACGTAGGATAGATGATGCAGAGATGCAGAGAGGCGGAGGCATGAAACAAAGGATGGATCGGATGGATCGGATCTGCGCCGCCGCCACAATGCACTCTATTAACCCCGGCCTGTACAGAACCACCGTAAACAAGTTGACCCGCCATCATCAGTCCTTCTCGTTCTTGACCTCATCGAACGCGATGCAAATCGCCGCGATGAGCGCGAGGTCGACGCCTGGTGCCACGGTGACATAGTACTGGCGTGAGCTCCGACCACCAACGACGTACTGTCTGCTTGTCCGCAATCCATTCGCGCAGGTGCAAAAGCTTGCGGCTGATCTGCGCGACGGGGATGTTGCCATTAAGCGTGATCGTCGTGCCCAACCCGAACATGTCCCCGCGGATGCTCAGCTCGCAGTTCTGCCCCGTCACAGCATTACGGAACGTCGCTGTCATCTTTGTCCCCACTACCATCAGCCTGTCTGCGGGCACTCACGCGCAATGTTGCGCTTGACGCGAAACACCTCGTGCCCGTTTGCATCCTCGGCCACGAACGTGCTCATCAGCGCGATGAGCTTGTCGCGCATGCTGAAAAGCAGGTGGCCCGCTGCGTCCGTCACATCTAACATCAGCGGAGATGGGTGGCGAGTCACTTTTTCGCTCCCGGAAGCTGATGATCTTGCCCTTGCACCGCACAATCGTGTGGCCTGTCGCGGCGTCCTTCACGCTGAAGTCGTCACCGGTGAGGGAGAAGATCTGCTCGCGCAGCACAAGGGTCACGGGGCCGTGGGAGATGAATGCCGGGAAGACGGCTACGGGAGGGTGGATAGGGGCAAGAGCGACGGTGCGCGGAGGCGTGAAGAGCCCCATAGTTAGATGAACGAGGTTGTAGGAGGGCTGTTTTTGGATGGGCTGTAACGGCTGTGGCAAACAATTGACGTCAGATCACTTCAGAAGTTCGATGATTATCGTTGATGATAAGTACAACGGCGGCCACTCAAGAAGTCAAGGACAAAGCAGACAAACCAAGCACGGGCCGACTACCGTGCAGGACACGGGCTCACGCACGGGGCGAAAAGGAGATGACATTTTCAGAGGACTCCGCAGGACGACATGAGGTATGTTCCTCAAGGGTTTGCCGTTCGATGATGCTTAGACACAGAACTTTCTCACCTCATCGCTTGAATTTCTCAGAGAAGCAAGTGCAGTAGCGATGTGTTATCTTTGATTCATATGCGTGTCCACAACGATGTGGATGTAAAGATGCCAACGATTTACTCTCCTACAGTCATTGCATGCACACACCGAAAGCGGGTAAAGCGTTGTAAGGGGTCATCGCTCTTCTCTGTCATAAGAATCAGTGGAAGTGTGACACGCCCGATATTGGTGTGCCATTGTCGCCGACGATCCGAGAGTTACATCGTGTTTGCACTGTTCACGATAGCATGGACACATTCTCTGCCATTCATCGCAGTGCAGGATCTGGGGCACCCTATATTCTACGTCGGCTCTGCGCTAGCCTGTATGCCTCTACTTCCAGATCAGTTTATCAATGTCGGTTTAGGAGCTTAACTCCCGAGCTGCTCAAAAATTAAGCAGGCGGCGACTGCGAGCGAGATGTCAAACCCAGGCGCAACAGTGATGAAGTACTTCCGTCAGCCACGCCAAAACTCCGGCATACAGTGTCCTTGTTGACGATCACGCTGGATGCTAGGCGAGGTGGAGACGTCGCCGAGGTCGAGACGACGGGTACGCCTTCATCCAACAGAAGTACGTTGCCGTCGCCGTTGGGTCCAAACATGCCGCCAGTAAGGGAGATACGAGCTTCAGTGCCACACGGGAGGGCCAGAGACGCTTTGAGCGTGCCATCGGCGCCCGAATCAGCCCATGCCGTAGGTCATCTCACCAGGCGCCGCAACGCGCATGTCGGCGCGCCGGCTAGAGTCGTGCGCGTTGATCTCGGTCACCCCATCGCGCACACGACGGGGGAAGAAGAAGATTAGATTGCCATATGAGTTGTACAAGCCTGCGTAAGTTGTCTAGCCAGCTAGACATGGACGTGAAGGGGACGCACATGGGCTAGACCGGTCAGTCCGGAATGTGAACAGCAGGCTGCCCTTTTCGGCGTCTCGAATTTCGACCGTGTCGCCTCGGGGGGCGGACCACGCGCCGCGCTTGAGGGCAAGGACGACCTCGTGCCGCTCGAGATACTTGACGTGGTGGACGACCGGGGGCGAGACGATGGGAAGTGGCGCTGGCATGAGTGGAGCTGGTGAGGTGGCGTGAGGCAGGAGTGATGGGTAGGTCGTAGTAAGCGGGTTGGCACGCTATCGGGAGTGCAAAGAGAGAAGGAGTGTGGGTCGTGCGCGCACGCTTGCTCGCTCGGACGTTGCGTAGGACTTGTAAGAGCGAAGCCACGGACCACCATGGGCGCTTGCCCACCGGGCGGCATTGCGGCGGGGCCAGCGGCTGCGAGGGTCTGAGAGCGTGATGGAAACGCTATGCATGTAATGTGAGATATGATCAGGCTGAGAAAAGCACAATCGCTCGATGGCCGATGCAGAGATGTTGTTGCGAGGATGGCTATTCATTAATTAGTAGTTGGTCCATTGACTTTTGCCACCACGCTCAGGCACGGCACGTGGCGTCCGGTTGAGTGGACCGCGCTCCGCGATACGCGGCAAATACAATAACAAATACAGGCGCGCGCGATGCCCCTCCCATCGCTCTCATCTCTTCACCACACTTCACAACGGATGCCCGTACCATGGCACTCACCTCCGCTGACATCTACGAGGGCGCCACCCTCCCCGATGTCATGCAGGATGGCCGCCTTTCCGCCGTCTTCGCCCTGGACCCCGCTGCCCCAACCGTCAAGTTCATGTTCACGATCCGCATCCCCTCCACCTCGGACTACGCCGCCAGTGAGAAGGCCAAATTCTTTCTCATAATCGAGGTCCTGCCAATACGCTCGGGCGCAGAGGCCGATGCCGAGGCGCGAGACAACATTCAGTGGCTAAACAAGTGCGCTGGCCAGAATGCCTCGGTCCAGCTCGGCGGGCTGCGTGTGAATCGTGTTGTGAGCGAGGACAACAGGCGGAACGTCTACTGCAGTGCAATGGGACCACGGGAGTTCAACGTGCGTGACCACAAGAAGGTGCTGCGCAAGAGTGAGTGCTTTGACGTCGCGGTCTAGGATGTGGAACGGTGAAAGTGGAGTGGCTAATGGCAGGATCACGCATCCGCACCTGTCCGACCTGGCAATTCTACACGCCTTCACCAGCGCCACAACGTCCCAGTCGGCCAGATCCGAGGCAACGGATGAGAGAAACGTCTGCTGAGCTTTCCCCGCCAAGGCAGCAGCCACGGCCCACAGGCAGCACAGGTGGCCGCCTTACCACACCCCTCGACACTCCTGAGGGGCCGCGGCTGAGCCTGGCCAAGCCTGTGCCTCTCGCGCCGCAGCGCAGTCGGTCACCTCGTCCGCTTTCGACACACGCATTGCAGTTCAAGAGCCTCAAGCGGCCTGCTGAAGGCGGAAACGATCTGGAGATGCGCTCCGAGAAGCGTTTGCGGGCCGAGCCACCCTCTGCCGCTGCGCAGGCGGGGCCGTCCCGTATGAATGACACACGAGGGGCACCGGCGATTGCGCGCCCTTTCCCTCACCCGACATCGGCGCGCCCTCCTCGCCCTCATCCTCCTGTCTCTGATCCCCACACGGAATACCTCGACCTGGGGAACGCTGTCGCCGTGCCTTCTCCTCGCAATGCCACCGGACGCCAAAGCCTCCCCTCGCCGTCCACGTGCATAGCCAGCCGCAACACTCTTGAGGTGGCATTGACGCAAGAGAGTATTGTTGTTGACCTCATCGACTTCACCCACCCTTCCACGCCCTCGACGTCCGCGGCCTCTTCACCGCAACCCGCCCCTACCTCGGCACCGGCCCCTTGCCATTATCCCCATCCTTCAGCTTCAGCTTCGGTCCACCCGCGCGGACCTTTGGAACCGCCCCAGACTCATGAGTCGAAGGAGCTTTCCGTCGATGTTGAGCGTGAAGATGACCCCGAAGAAGCCCATGATCGGCCGATATCACACAGCCGGAGATCCTCGTCAGCTGCCCCCGATCGGGCAGCACGTCGGGCCACCCTTCTTGCCGAGCTGCGTGACTTAGAGGAACAAGAGCGCCGCGAACGACTGGCGGCGGAGCGTGCGCGACTGATCAAGGCGCACGGCGAAGTAGTGAACCCTGTCGTCGAAGGCGAGCACAATGCCTCACCGCTTCGAACAAACCCCAAGCATCTCAGGATAGAGGAACATGAGGGAGAACAATCCTCGGTGTTGCCAATTGAGTGTGATGCTGACGGGAGTGAGCCGGCAGCAGCACTCAGAAACCGACATCCAAGCGAGGGCGGTAATGTTGCGCAGGCACATAGAGGCGATCATATAGGGGCCTCGGTCCCGGCTCTAGGGGCCCGAGTCGATTATCCGCCTCCGTCTGCTGCGGCTCGCGCAGAACAAGCGGCAACAGTCATCAGCATCCGCCGCATGGAGGAGGAGCGTGTCCGACAGGCAAATGCTACACGAATCGCCAAACAACGGGAAGAGGAGGAACGTCTAGCCGCTGAGGCGTCGAAGCTGCAGGAGCCGTTCACGTCAGGGGTGAGCGTTTGCAAGAACGGCGCTGACAACAGAAATGGATTTACAAACCCCTGGCCATGCTCAATCCAAATATGAAGACGGACCAGCATGTCATGGGTGTGGTGGTCGAAGTAAGGCAAATCAGGCCAACGAAAGGTCGTGAGTGTTGTTGCTTTCCGCCCGCGAGTGCTGACCTCCCAGCGGATTGCGCCCTCACGCTCATCATCGCCGACCCTACCACCCACACCGATGGACGAGCGAGCGACGACCGACAGGTGACCATCATGCGCGGACCTATTGATCTCAAAGCCCACGACTTCGATGTGGGTCGCCCTGTACTGTTCCGTCACTTGAAGGTAAGCTGCTCGCCCAGCCGTCCACTGACTCAAGATTACATCGTGGAACGGCCGCGCGAAGGGGCAAGCCTTCAATGATTCTCTGAGTCAGTGGTACGTTTTGCGCGGCAAGAAAGCCCTGCCAGGTGGCCAGCGCAATCTCGCGCCTATCGGCCCAGACGAGATAATGCGCCTCCAAGCTCTGGAGCGGTGGTATCGTGAAGGCGGCGGCGACGATGTCCCCGCACCGATGCAAGGTACATCCGTACAAGCTCTATCAAATACGAAGTTCCGCACCCTCGGGGAGATCGTGGGTGATCAGTTCTTTGACACAACCGTCAAGATCGTGCACCTCATCCGCCTGAACCGGACGATGGGCTCAGACTTCTCGCCCAAGTATGAGTTGTATGTCTGCGACGGCACCGTCAACCCACAAGCGACGCATAACTTCCACAACATCGACATGGGCGTTCCGCCCGGCGCGCTCATGTGCCTGACCATCTTCTCTAGCGCGCCGGAAGAGGCCGAGAAGCTGTTTGAGGAAGGCGCCATCCTCCACTTCAAGAACGTCCGGTCGAAGTACTACCGGGGCGCAATCGAGCTCAAATGGAGCGAGACAGTGACGGATCAGCAACTCGCTGCGGGCTGGAAGAACAAAGCATGCCGCCTCGTGGACCCCAACCAGCCCGAAGCGGTCGAGATTGAGACGTGAGTGCTGGCACACTCAGTGCTGACGGCAGCCGCCTCAAGGCCATGCAGGCAGCGCACACGCGCGGCGAAGCTATCTCCACCCCTAACCCCGGACCGCCCTCCGCCTCCACTACCACCGCCGCCGCCGCCGCGGCCCTCCCGCCGCCGGTCCATCCCATATCGACCCTTCTCATGACAGGATACACAGACGAAGCGGCGCACCCGCGCTCGACGATCTCCGAGATCCTTGCCAACACGACGGTTCCCAACCGCTTCCGCCTGCTCGCGCGCGTGCTAGCTCTCACACCGCGTTTCCCCAAAGGTGCAAGTGTGAACAAAGCCGGTGCCGTGTCCAAAGGCGAGCTCGCCATGCTGTGGTGCAGGCGCTGCAAGAACAACTTCCCTTCAGCCCACTGCCTGAGCTGCAACGACATGAGCCTCAAGCACGCCGAGGTGCGCTGGCAAATGCTTCTCACGCTCGAGGGCGAAAGCGGGGGCCAACTCGATGTCGTCCTGGACGGCGATGCGGCCGCCGCCGTCCTCCCTCCTCTTCCCCCGCTCACGCCCGACCCGAAGGAAGTGCGCCGCCTTCGCGGGCGCCTCGTCGATCTTAGGGCCGCGGCCGAAAATGTCCTCCTTGGTGCAAGGTTTGATGGCGTGCGCACACGGCCCCTCATCGACTGGACGATTGAGAGCTATGCCACGGGCCCGAGCGGCAGGCTCGAGTACCTCCACTTCCGTGTGTTTGGGATGCGCAAGGGCAAGCAGTAGGAGGATGAATGTGCTGGCGATATGCAGTCTAATAGTATGTCATTGTATCAGCAGTCAATGTACAACCGGCACACGTTTTTGCCTGTGTCGAATCGATGCGCCCCCTGCGTTTCTCTTTCGCCTCGCCCAGAGCAACATCATGTTGTACATTAACTGCCCTTGCTGTAAGTGGCACGGAGCCCCGTGCGTGCATGTGCCGCAGTGCCCGCGGAAAGGTCACTGCTTCCCCTGCCCTCTGGCTGCCTAGTCGTAGGCCTCCTCCGCCGAGCGGCGCACAAGGCGCTTGACCTTCTTCTTGTAACCTGACGTCAGCTGCCATCGGCGCCGTCGCTCACCATCGTAGTCCTCGCGAACCTGCTTCGCCGCGTCGACATTGGCAGGCGAGTTGAGGTCTGGCACGTCCGCAGAGAGGAGCGAGATGACAGAAATGAGCTGACGTCAGCTCTGCCAGCGAGGCTCAACTCACAACACTCTCGACAGTGTGGACCGGGAGCCATCGCTCGCTCGCGTCCTCGTACCCCCACTCGTCCTCGCCTGGTGCGTGCTGCGGTCAGCGAAGTCAGGGCGCAGACTTACGAGGATCGACACGCAAACCTCGCCCTTGCGGCTCCCCGAGTTGTACACGTTCGGGTGCCACATCTCAGTGTCGAAGATCATCTTGGGCGGGAGGATCGGGTATTCCTACGATTAGCTCTGCTCCGTCCACATGTCTCGAGAACAGACTCACAGGCGGGAAGATGAGGCGTGCTTTGAGGATGGCGCCCTCGTACAGTGTGTCGGAGGGGCTGTGCGGGGGAAGGTGTGCGCAAGGTGAAGGTAGTGACACGATCGTGGGCGATGGCAAGATGGTAGAGTGGTGGAGAAACCGAAGCCGCAGAAATGCAAGTCGCGTCAGCCCCATCGCGGGAAGTGGCGCGCATGTACGCATGTGCACAGCGCCCCGACTCACCCCATAATGACGATGGACCACTCGAGAATGTTGTCATCGTCAACAAGGCCCGCGCTGAACCCATCTACGGGGTTCTTCTGGAGATCTGGGGTCAGCGATTGTCTCGGGACTGGGTTGACCGCCGTGACCGCACCGCCCTCGCACAGCCAGGGTACAGTCCCAGAGCAGACAGGCGAGCACGGAGAGCGAGCCGTCCACGCCGAGCAAACCGCCACACGCCTTCGTTCTTCACCCGAGATGTACTCACCACGCAGCTGCTTGCGGAGAAGAAGGGAGCTGTTCGCCGTGTTGCTCAGTGGCGTGCCGGGCTTGCTGGAGGTCGGGCGCGATGTAGGGTAGGGCGGCGTGCCGGTGCCCGTGCCGGGACGCGTTGGGGGCATGGTGTGTCTGAGACGAAGCGGGAGGTGGTGCACAAAGCGGGGGGAGATGGAGATGGAGGTTGAGAGGACAACGATAGCGAGATGGCCAGAGGTGATGACGAAGGAACGCCCAGACCCGAAGGAGGGGCCAAATAACATTCGGGCATCTCTTTAGAAGAGATTAGGCGCGTCTACTAATCTTGCCACTGTGCGTGGCATACTCTCCCACGGTGTCCGTGCCTGGCGAGATTTCTGAAGTGGAGTTGGGCCATGCACATCCCGCACGCCAGAAAGCATCAACATCAACCACACCACCATGTCGGCGCTCTCCAAGATCGCCCAGCTCGAGCAGGCGTTGACGGAAACCCCGTCCGACCCGAACCCGCTCCTCCCGCTCCTCGCGGCGGCACGGCACGCGGACCCCGAGGTCGCGCACAAAGCTGCCTGGGCGGCCTACCGTGTCTTCGGGGCGCAGCTCGCCGCCGGCCGCGTGGGCGGCATCACGGGCGAGCCCGGCGCGGCCGGCGAAGCAAAGGACGCGCGCGCATGGCTCCGCGACCGCCTGCTGGACTTTATCGGCATTTTGGGCGGCATGCTGAGCGACTCGGAAGCGTCGTTGCGCGTGAGTACCCGTAATATCGCGCTGATTCCAGGCATCCGCGACGCAGCTCCTCTTCGGCCTCCTCCCGCCGCTGAGCGCGGCCGCGCGTGTGCCCCTTCACCTCCCGTACTTCCGGATGGTGGTGCGCGCGCTCCTCCTCCCGCAGCCGAGCCAGCGCGGCGCAAAAGGCAAGGGGAAGAGCAGGGAGATCCTTCCCGAGGCGCAGGAGAACGGGGCCGGCGAGCTTCCCGCCGACGTGGTGGAGACCGTCGTCGACGAGTACTGGGCCGCATACGATGATCTGCGCCTCTTCTTTTTCCGCGAGGTGGCGGCGCTCGTAGCCGCCAACGAGGTCGGGCAAGAGGCCGTGATGGCGCAGCTGGCGCCGCTCACAAACCTCCCGAAGAAGCAGGAGGACATCAACACGTTTTTCGTGCCGGGGCTCGAAGCGGGCGAAGAGAAGAGCAAGAAGGCCAAGACGGGCGCGAAGAAAAAGGGCAAGGGCAAGGACAAGGAGCTGGACGCCCTGCCGGAGTGGATGGAGACGTACGACTCGGCGTCGTCCGACGACGAGCCGGCGGGCGGCAAGCGCAAGCGCACGTCGGCGCTCGGCACCGCGGCGGCGGTTCACTCGCTTGCGGCGCACACGAACGCCTACACTTCGGCATGGGAGGCTGTGCTCTCCCGCCCCCTCAGCGAGGCGTGGACGCGCCGCGTCCTCGCAGGCCTGCACGGGGAGCGCGGCGTGCTCGCGCACTGGGCGCCGGCGCGCCGCGTCCGCCTCGCCGACTGGCTCGGCGGCACAGTCGACGCGGGCGGCGCGCACGCCCTGCTCGCCATGAACGGCCTCTTTGTCCTCATGACCGCGTACAACCTCGACTACCCCCGTTTCTACGAGCGCCTGTACGCGCTCCTCGACGGCGAGGTGCTGCACGCGCGCTACCGCGCGCGCTTCTTCCGTCTGCTCGACACGTTTTTGCGCTCGCCCATGCTTGGCGCGGCGCTCGTCGCGGCTTTCATCAAGCGCCTCGCGCGTCTCGCGCTCGCCGCCCCGCCCGCGGGCGCCGTCCTCGTCATCCCCTTCGTGTACAACCTCTTCAAGCGGCATCCGGGGACGATGGGCATGCTCCACCGGCTGCCGGATGAGATGGAGGGAGACCCGTATGATGAGAACGAGGTCGTGCCTGGTAAATCCAAGGCGATTGACAGCTCGGTCTGGGAGCTGGCCGCGCTCAAGAACCATTATCTCGCGAGCGTGGGGACCATGGCTAAGATCTTCAGCGAGCAGTTCACAAAGCCAGAGTTCAACCTTGAAGATTTCCTCGACCACGGATACGGCACTGTGAGTGGAACACTCGATAGTTTTGCTGACTCCAGCTCTTCGAAACAGAAACAAAACGTCGCATCAAAAACGCGCCCGCGCTCAGCGTGCAACTTGAGCTCGGGCAACCTGCAGACATCGCACCGCTGTTCCCCTCGGCAGGGCACGAGGGCGAGCGCGATGCGGTGAGCGAGCTATGGGCGTTCTAGACCGGGCGGATCAGATGGCGGGATGATGCTGCACACAGGGTTTTTAGATACAATACATGTACTAGGTCATGGCGATTTGTCACTGTGACCGTTCAGGAAATTTTGAATGGTGGTTGCATGGGCGCTGCGCTTGCCTACAAAATAGAAGAGAGCGAAGCGAAGTGTATTATGGGAGCAAAAGCTCATCGAAAGATGCGCAACGCCCACTCTCCTCCACTACTAATATGTGACTCGTACACTCATCAACAGTTGTGTCTCCTTTCCTCCCATCCACACAACATTTTACATGCGGCCGCCTCGGCCGCCGCGGGGAGGGCCGCCGCGCCCACGGAAGCCGTAGCCGCGGTCGAAACCGCCACGGAATGTTCGGCCTCCCCCAAAACCTCCACGCATGCTGTTTACTGGCGAAACAGGTCCTCCAGCAGCGTTGGCGCCAGTGCCAGGCCCATGACTCGGCCCACCACCGCCCCAGTTGCCGCGCGGTCCTGTCGGTGGATGGCGGGGGCCACTCGGAGGCGCTCGGCCGTGGTGGGGAGGCCCGTCACGTACGGGAAGCGCAGAAGGGATTTCGGGTAAAGTCTGGAACCTGCTCGGAGGCGTCTGCAGGGGGAGGGAAGGTCGAGAGACAGCAGGATTCAATGATGAAGACTCATTGTCCTGCTGGCGGGGCTGGAACGCCGGCGGCGCCGGCACGGGATCACGCGCTGAGTCGTCCATCGAACCGCGGGGAACAAAGTTCGGACTTGGGCGTGGGACGAATGCCGGGGTATTGGCCAGGCCGCCACTGCTGGCTACCGGCTGGCTGTTGAAGTAGTCGGGGCGCGTCTCCGAGCGAGGAACAAACGCCGAGCTGCGCGGCGCGTCCCCCGCGGCACTGGCACCCGAAGGCGTAAATGGAGTACCAGTAGGCGTGGCAGTGGCGCTGCGTGCCGAAGGGAGGTGCTCCAGGAAGTTGAGACGCGCTGATTGCGTGGGAATAGGGGGCGCGGAAGGGGGCGGTGCGGCAATCTCTGCAACCGCTTCCTCCTTTGCCTCTTCCTTGACAGCAACCTCCTCTTCCACCTTGGGCTCCGGTGACTTCTCCTTCTTGCGGATTTTGTGACTCGCAAGGTAGTCCTTCAAAGACACCTTCTTAGGAACAGGTGGGGTTGGCGCCCGTGGTGGCGGGGTCGGTTCTTTCGGTGGCGGGGGTGACTCCTTAGCGGCTACTGGTGGCTCTTGGTGGGCGGGCGGTGTGGCCTCCTTGGCCTGGGGTGCGGCCTCCAAGGGCGCTGCCACAGGCTCGGTCTCAGAGGGCGCAATGGTCTGCTCTTCGCGCGTGGGCTCATCCGGCCCAGGCAAGAGCGTTACTGGCTCCTCCTTGATCGGCTCAGGAGGCGCCCTCGCAATTTCTGGAGCAGCCTTGACCTCGGGCGTTGGCTTGAGCACTTCGGGAGCCACGCTGTCTTGTGCCAGTGTCGTGGGCAACGGCGGTGTAGGCTGACGCTCGGGCTTTGATGTCTTGATCTTAATTGCCTTGGGACTGTGATCTTCGTCCTCGCTGTCCTTGACCACCTTGCTGCGCCTTCCTGCACGGTCGCCTGTCGCTTTGCGAGCAGGCTTGCGGGCCGGTGTGTCATCCTCATCATCCGACTCACTGCCGGCAACCTTGGAAACCTTTGAAGGCCGCTTAGCAGACTTGGAAGGTTTCGGCTTCTGCGGTGATGATTTCGGAGCGGGCTTCGGAGTCGCGGGCTCGTTGTCAGATGCCTCCTCATCACTCGACCGGATGATCTTGCGACGTTGGATTGCCTTGCCTGCGCGTCGATCGGGCGCACCTGCGGCCTTCTTCTTGGACTTGTCCTTACGCTGCGCAGGGCCGGGCGAAACAACGCGTCGGCGGTGTGCAGCTGTCTGCTTCGTCGGTGACGACATTTCGCCTTCGGAGCCCAACGCGACCGTGACAGTCGTGGCGTTGGACACGTAGCCGTCGTCGATCTCGTCCTCGCCCTCCTCGTGACGCTCATGTCTATCGGGTGGGAGAGACGAAAGCGCCGAAGATGGAGGCGCCAATGAGGATTGTTGAGGTTCATTTGGTGTGCGAGGCACCTCTGCCATATCAATGTCTTCCTGGGTCTTCCCAGAGATCGGCTGAGGCTGGTCGAGAACATTCGAATCGACGGACTCTTCGAGGGTTGCCGGCTTGACATCGTCCTCGATAGGCTCCGTCTTCAGCACCTCGTCAACGTCCATGGCATCGCCCGTTGGCGGCGGCGGTTGAATATCTTGCTCCACAGGGGCAGCTGGCTCGCCGGGCCCCGAGGGAACAGCGGATTCCACGGAGGATGCGTGCGGCTCGACATCCATTTGTTCGACCTGCTCATCGCTAGGACGCGCTTCCTCGTCGGCCGGCATCTCTTCCGGGGCGTGTGATGCGTGACGCTCAGATGATGGGCGCGACCGAAGCTTGTTTTCCTCATCGTCCTCGTCATCGATGGGCTTGGACGGACCAGCACGCCAAAGGTCCCACTCGCCGACGTTGCGAAAGCGCTTGGCCCTCGAGTAGGCATCAATCTCTTCAATCTCCCGCTTGCGCCATCCGCGGACGGCCCCGATGAGCTCTCCTAGATCGATGCGCTTGCGAGCACGCGCGCCGCTCACACCGTGGAAAGTCTGCCCCGTAACTTGTCTACGCATTTGAGCAAATGCGCAGTCCGTGTTGACGGTACAGGCGCATGATTGGAATGTGCTGAAGATGTTGGTGAGAATTGCGTCGAACTTGGACGTCAAATGGGCGACAGTGTCGGCCTCAATGGTTACAGGCGGCTTGCTGGCCGACTTAGTAAGTGTCGAGTCGATGACCGAGCGAAGAGTGTGAACAACGTGTTGGTCGTCCCACTCCCAGCCAAGAACAATTTCCTCGTTCTTGCCGAGCTCCCGTGCCGCGAAGATGCCAAAGTGCAGCCTCTGTCTGGGAGGATCTGATGCTCGAAAGAAGACAGGACGAATGACGGCGTTTGGGTGGCAACCACTCCGAACGAAGCGCATCTCATTGCCGTATGACCGCGCATCGAGTACCAGGTTGACCGGGGGGCCGACAGAGTGGACGTATGGCTTGGGAATGCCTAGGGCCGCGTACTGATTGATGGGGTCCTTGCGATAGGCTGCTGCGTCGAGGACCTCGCATCGGTACTCCCCGAGGAAAGTCCCAGGCCGCGCTGTCTCGGAAACGAAGACGCCGTAGATCGTAGGTCGGGCGTATATGTTCTGGCTTGGCTCGATATACTTGAGAGGGAGATAGCAGCTGGCGCTGGAGGGGTCGTCCACAGGCCGGAGGTACGTTTGGGCCGCGAGACTCTCCAGATCTGAGCCAGAGAGGTAGACGGGAGGCAAGGGAGGCGCAAGGATGTTAAAATCCGCGCCATCGACGCCAGCCTCTGGTGTCTGTCTCATATCACCCGTTTCCGTTGGAGACGGGAGGCCTGATTCATGATATGAGGGCTTGCTGTGCCGCGGTTCCTCATCCTCGTCGATCCACTCTTTCCGCAGTTTTGCGATCGCTCGACTGGCGACAATACCGCGGACAAGGTTGTCTTTGAGAGGCGTATACTCGAGCTCCCAAGGTTGAACACGGAAGTAGTCGTCCTCGTCGCCATCTCTGCCTGGTTGTGCAGAGTCCTTGGAACGTGGTTTGGTCGGGTTTGGCTTTCGCTTCGGCTTTGCCGGTGGCGCCATGGGATCTCGGGAGTCGTCTGTCGCTTCGCCAGCAACCTCTGGCTTGTTGCTGCTTCCGCTCTCGACGCGCGATCGCTTCGTCTTTGGTCGCCGCTTGTTGGGTTCGGCCGGCTCGCCTTGGGGAACAATACGACCTCGTGTCCTGAGCTGAAGTTCTCTCGCGGCCACAGCATCGTAAGGACGAGGGTCGCACATCTCGCAGTAATAGACCTCGGGAAGATTGTCGCCGTTCGGGTAGCCAAAGCATTTTGCGTGCTGCCATGCGTAACAGGCTTCACACTGTACGGTGAATCCATCGTCATCCTCGATGCCGCAGATGCAACGGATGCTGGCGTTGTTTTCACCCATGTAATGGGCTGGTACGGCAACTGCCTCGGTCGAAGAGTGTCGAGACGGGCCGGCCACTGCATTGTTGCTGCTAGGCTTTCGTTTACGCTTCGGCTTGGTGGCAGCAGTCGTGCTTGTCGAGGTTTCGGGGCTTGGGGCGGATGGTGTGGGAAAGCCCGTGGGAGAGGAGGGAGCAAGGGAAGGGGGATTTTGAGGGCGGGCCAAGTTGGAAGGGGAGTCGAGGGGAGGAGTATTGGGGTAAGGAGCAGCGCTTTCCTTGGTGACGGGTGGGGGCAAAGGTTCGTGGATAGCGGAAATGCCAAGCAACAGCGCGGCGGCTTCTTCTGACGGTGCCGAGCCTGGTGGTGAGCGCCGGAGTGGTGCAATGGGTGGAGTCGAGTAGGAGTCCTCCCTCTCACTGTTGATGGTATCTCTTGCCGACGAGACCTCTCCGTACGCTCGAGCCACGACGACTGGCTTGCTTGCGACGGCAGAGGCCAGAGAAGAAGGTTCTCCTCGAGTCGCGGAAGTCCCGCGTACGCCCCGCTCCAGAGGTGCCAGTTCTATGCCATGACTAGCATGGCCACGTTCAGACGCCATGGAGCGGGGTAGCTTGAGCAGAGGATCGGCCGTTGGGGCTGGCGGTGGCGGGAGACGACCCGTACCACCATCTGGGACCATTACGAGTACGTCCCCGCGATTCATTCAACAACGCGTCCGCGTGCGCTGGAGGACCTTGAACGAGGGCCGAGAGGACGTGGAAGGCCGTACACGTGGGTGTGGGAGAGTCGAAGGTAGGGTCGATGGCAATGGAAAGAAAAGGTGAATGGAATGAGAAACGGTGTCGACCTGGAAGAGAATTGAGCACGTTGAGCAGTGTGGGGTGCCTACGTGTCGATGATTCAAGTTGACGACGCGATGGGAATGGGAATGGGATGGGATGGGATGGGATGGGTTAGGAAGGGGGCAGTGTTGGGCAGGCTGCTGATCAAGCAAAGGATGGGGGGTATTAGGAGGTTGAATGTATGGGCAACAGAGTGGCGAGGGGAGGAGGAGGTTGACGGCGACCAGACGACGAGTTGGACCAGTTAAGGAGACTCGACGAGGACGATCAACTGCTCAACTGAGAAGAGGGGGATGGCAAGTTGTGGACGGGCGCGCGCGCCGTAAGGAAAGGTGGGTATCGGATGCGAGGGGCGTGAGGTGGAAGACGGGAGGTCGGGACGTGTGAAAGCATGTGGCCAACTCTGAGGATTAAGAGGAGGAGGAGTGGGCGCTGAGGGATGGGGACATGGAGAGGTAAGGGGGGAGGGGATGTAGATTTGTTGTGGGTTGTGAGTCGAGGTGAATGATGTGGACGCGAGGATGGATAGCGAGCAAAGGGAAAGTGGGTGTTGGTGAAAGTGTGAGGGACATGTTGACCGGCCCAAGGCAGAAGGTGGCAGGTGGCAGCTGGCAGCTGGCAAGGGCCACAGTGGTGCGTGTCCAAAAGGGAAAAAAAAAGCCTTGCTGGCTGGCTGGACCGCCCAAGGCGCCCAAGTCGAACAGGATGCGGGCGCAGAATTGCTCCCTCGCCGCCGCCCCTCAAATCATCTCCGTTCTTCTTCTGCCTTTGCGAGAGAGCGTTGCAGTGCTCACCATCATGCGACTGGATACATTGCTGCCATCGATTGCGAGACTCACTCTTCCCCCTGCTGCTTGCCCATTGTACAGTACATGGCGGATGTGGGTGGTGGTGATGATGAAGAGGTGTTTGGCAGGTTGCTTGAGCAGAGATGGATGGGCGAGGAGAGGCAAGAGGAAGAGCGAAATTGTCGATCCAAAGTTGCCACCCTGCCTAGGCCTCCCACCAAGGAGCCAATGACAAGAGTCCAATCATCCACTTTCAGTGCGCCTGCGTGATTCCCCCCCCCCATGCCCCGTGATGCATCTCCCGCAACCCTTCAGGCCGCTGCAGACCGTTTGTTGAGAGGAGAGGGGCATGGGAGGAGGATGAGGAAGAGGATGGGAGGGAGGGAGAGCGAGGGGAGGGCGAGGGCGCGTTCCTGTTACAAGGATGGAATAATTGCAAAAGTGCCCTGCTCCTCCGTCTCCAGCCGTGGGCGCTGGAGAGATCGGAATGACGGGAGAGACGGCACAAGACCCAAGGATCCAGGAGGGATCGAACGCCCGTCACCTGCCTCGCATCCACTCGACTCTCGAATCCGTAATTCACACGGGCTCTTGCAAATTGGGCGCATCCTCCTCCTCCTCCCATAGAAGGGGGGAGATATAAGATGCGTAGCGTGGAGCGCACGTGTAATCTAGGCGTGCTCAGAAGTAGGCATGCGTTTAATGCGCGCGCCCAGCGACAGTCGATTGATCACTCCTGCTCAACGACCTCGAGCAAAAGACTACTGAATTGACAACATCCAACCCACACCCACTACCCATCCACACTTCCCACCACCGCCTCCTCTCTTCTTGCCGTTACTCTGGCATCAAGACTAAGAGGACATTTTAGACCACCCCGCGGGCGGCAGGGAATCTTTCCTTCTCTCTAAAACGGGGCCGTAGCCCGGCGCAAGACACGACCTTCTACCGCGCCTACACATCCTCCGTCGGCCCCTGCTCCTCCATCTCGTCCCACTCTCTACCTCCACTCTTGTCAACATGTCGGGCGCAAAGAAGGGCAAGGACCTGTCCCAGTTCAACTATGGTGCCATCAGTAGTCTCGTCGTCAACCAGGGTGAGTCACTCAAATGTTTACATGCCAAGCAACGCTGACCCCGCAGACCGCTCGGTCATCCGCAGCGACGAGCCTACCGGCCAGCCCGAGTCGCTGGTCGGCCGCATCAATGTCAAGGACATGGGCTCGCGCGTGACGCGCGAGGCACCCAAAGACCTCGAGAAGAAGAAGAAGAAAGCCGCGCGCTCCCAGGCCGACGAGGTTGAACGGCAAATTCGACGGCAGCAGGAGGTCTCGACAGCGCGCTTCGGTGCCGCCGACGTGCTCGCGTCTGTGGCGGAAATGGAGGGCTTGCGGTACAGGCCGCGGACAGCCGAGACGAGCGAGGTGTACGAGCTCATCCTGGGGTTAGTCCACCGTCAGCTCGGCGACCAAACGCAGGAGGTTGTGCGTTCCGCCACCGACACCATCCTCGAGACGCTCAAGGACGAGGACATGAAGGAATTCGACAAGCGCAAAGAGGTCGAGTCTGTGACTAGCCCGCTTGACGAGGACGCATGGCAGCAACTCGTCAACCTCAGCAAGAAGATCACCGACTATTCCGAGGAGAACGAGCAGGGTGGCGAGGGCGACGACCGCGAGCGCGCCGTCGACAACGAAGGTGTTGCTGTCTTGTTCGAGGATGACGACTCGGACGGAGACCAGGACTTTGAGATCAAAGATCGCGCGTCCGATGACGAGGACGAAGACGAGGACGCGGACGCCGCGGAGCGGGAAGAAGAAGACGCTGGCGGTGATGAGCCTATGGACGAAGCAGACGAGGCTGTCGTGCTTGGGCGAGAGGGTGGTAAGAGAAAAGGGAAAGCCGACGACAAGCTGTCACCCCTCGACGTCGACGGTTTCTGGCTGCAGCGCCAGATCGGCGCTGCTTACCCCGATCCCGTCCAGGCCGCCGACTTGACACAACAGGCCCTTGACCAGCTGAGCACCGAGTCGGAGCTGCGCGACCTCGAGAACAACCTCGCCGAGCTGTTTGGTTACGAGAATTTCGATCTTGTCGCCACCCTGACCAAGAACCGCGACGTCATCGTTTGGTGCACCAAGCTCGCGCGTTCGAGCGACGACGAGCGCCACGATATCGAGGTTGCCATGCGCGAGAAGGGTGTCGGGTGGATTCTTCGGGAGCTCCGCGGCGGACGCAAGGCCGACGAGGCTGCGCCACAGCCCGTCGCTATCCCTACCAAAGCGACGCTCGCGCCCGGCTCCGTCGCGCAGCCTCAGCGCGTCATCGACATCGACTCTCTCATCTTCTCGGAGGGCGGCCACCTCATGTCCCGCAAGAAGGTCAAGCTTCCCGAGGGCTCTTTCAAGCGCCAGTTCAAGGGCTATGAGGAGATCCACGTTCCTGAACCAAAGCGCCGCGAGATCGTCCCCGGCGACTTGGTGTCTGTCAAAACCATGCCCAACTGGACGCAGCCGGTATGGGCAAGCGTCAACACCACCAAGCTCAACACCATTCAGAGCAAGGTGTTCCCGATCGCTTTCGAGACAGACGAGCCCATGCTTATCTGTGCCCCGACTGGCGCGGGTAAGACCAACTGCGCTGCTCTCGCGATGCTCCGCACAATCCACAATGCGCGCGACCCTGAGACTGGCATCATCAACCGTGACGCGTTCAAGATCATCTACGTGTCGCCCATGAAGGCGCTGGTGCAGGAGCAAGTTACGGCGTTCAGCAAGCGCTTTGCGGCGCTCGACATCAGGGTCGCCGAATTGACAGGCGACTCGCAGCTTACCAAGCAGCAGATTGCCGAGACTCAGATCATTGTCACGACCCCGGAGAAGTGGGACGTCATCACCCGCAAGGCTACCGACGCCTCGTACACCAACCTTGTGCGCCTGATCATTGTTGACGAGATCCACCTGCTCCACGACGACCGTGGGCCGGTCCTCGAGTCCATCCTCTCGCGTACCATCCGTAAGATGGACCAGACCCACGATGCTGTCCGTGTTGTTGGTCTATCAGCCACACTTCCAAACTACAAGGATGTGGCTGCCTTCCTGCGCGTGGACGTGAAGAGGGGTTTGTTCTACTTTGATGCCTCGTACCGCCCGGTCGGCCTCAAGCAACAGTTCATCGGTGTCACAGAGAAGAAGGCTATCAAGCGGCTGCAGACCATCAACGAGGTGTGCTACGAGAAGGTGCTTAACCAAGCCGGCAAGTCGCAGACCCTTGTCTTCGTCCACTCGCGTAAGGAGACGGCCAAGACGGCCAAGTTCCTCCGCGACATGGCAATGGAGAAGGAGACGCTCTCGCAGTTCATCAACCCTGAGGGCGCGTCCCGCGAGGTGCTCATCCACGAGGCCGGCGACGCAAAGGATCTCAATCTCAAGGATCTTCTGCCCTTCGGCTTCGGTATCCACCACGCCGGTATGACCCGCGAGGACCGTACCACCGTCGAGGACCTGTTCATGGACGGCCACATCCAGGTGCTCGTGTGTACCGCAACTCTTGCTTGGGGTGTCAATCTTCCTGCCCACACTGTCATTATTAAGGGCACACAGGTGTACAACCCCGAGAAGGGTCGCTGGTCCGAGCTGTCGCCTCAAGACGTCCTGCAGATGCTTGGCCGTGCTGGTCGCCCCCAGTTCGACACGTACGGTGAAGGCATCATCATCACCAACCATGGAGAGCTGCAGTACTACACCTCTCTCATGAACCAGCAGCTCCCCATCGAGTCGCAGTTCGTCTCGCGCATGGTCGACAACCTCAACGCCGAGATCGTCCTGGGTTCCGTCCGCAACCGCGACGAGGGCGTACAGTGGCTCGGCTACACGTACCTCTACGTGCGCATGCTGGGCTCGCCAGCACTGTACAACGTTGACGCTGATTACCTTGAGGGCGACGACGCGCTGGTCCAGAAACGCGCCGACCTCATCCACTCCGCAGCCGTGCTCCTCGAGAAGGGCGGTCTTATTCGTTACGACCGCGCGACTGGGGTGTTCCAGAGCACTGACCTCGGCCGCATCGCGTCCCACTACTATGTTGCGTACACCTCGATGGCGACGTACAACAAGCACCTCAAGGCCAACCTTGGCCTCATCGACCTGTTCCGTGTCTTTGCATTGTCCAACGAGTTCAAGCTCATTCCCGTCCGCCAGGAGGAGAAGCTTGAGCTTGCCAAGCTCATTGAGCGTGTGCCTATCCCAGTGAAGGAGAGTGTGGACGAGCCAGTTGCCAAGATCAACGTCCTCCTCCAGGCGTACATCTCCAATCTCAAGCTTACGGGCTTTGACGTCGTCACTGACATGGTCTTTGTCCAGCAGAGCGCTGGCCGTATCATCCGCGCCATGTTCGAGATCTGCTTGAAGAAGGGCTGGGCGCAGCCAACGCACCTGCTCCTGGACATGTGCAAGATGGTCGAGCGGAGGATGTGGAAGTCGATGACCCCCTTGCGCCAGTTCCCGCGAATCCGCCCAGAGATTGTGCAGAAGGCCGAGCGCAAGGAGTTCCCATGGTACCGCTACTTCGACCTCGACGCGGCCGAGCTCGGCGAGCTGCTCGGCATGCCCAAGAGCGGTATGCTAATCAAGTCGTACGTCGACAAGTTCCCGCGCCTCGACCTGCAGGCCCACGTGCTGCCTCTCACCCGCTCCCTACTTAAGATCAACGTCACGATCACGCCAGACTTCCAGTGGGACCACGACATCCACGGCCACGGCCAGCTCTTCTGGCTGCTGGTGGAGGATGTTGACGGCGAACGCATCTTGTTCCACGACTCGTTTGTGCTGCGCGAGCGCTTCGCCGAGGACGAGCACTACGTCACCATCACCGTACCCATCTCGGACCCTGTCCCGCCCAACTACTACATCTCGGTCATCTCGGACCGCTGGCTGCAGGCTGAAACGCGTCTGCCAGTGTCGTTTGCGCACCTCATCCGGCCCGAGCCGTTCCCACCCCACACCCCGCTTCTCGACCTCCAGCCGCTCCCCGTGTCCAAGCTCAACAATCGGACTTTCGAGTCGCTGTATCCCTTCGAGGACTTCAACAAGATCCAGACGCAGGTCTTCCCCGCGCTGTTCACGACCGATGACAACGTGCTCATCGGCGCGCCAACAGGCTCGGGCAAGACGATTTGCGCCGAGTTCGCGCTCATGCGATTGTGGATGAAGAAGGACCCACCACGTGCGGTGTGCATCCTGCCGTACCAGGAGATGGTCGACATGCGAGTGGCCGAGTGGAAGAACAAGTTCGGCGGGCTCGAGAAAGAGGTGGTAGCGCTCACGGGCGAGTCTACTGCTGACCTTGCGCTGCTGCGCAAGGCCGACGTTGTCGTGTGCACACCGTCGCAGTGGGACATGCTCTCGCGCCGCTGGAAAACCCGGAAGGATGTCCAGTCGATCGGCCTCCTCATTGCCGACGACCTCCACCTTATCGGTGGCGATGTCGGCTCGACGTATGAGGTGATTGTCTCGCGTACCCGCTACGTCAGCCAGCAGACCGAGATCCCCACGCGTATCGTCGCGCTCGCGGTGTCGTTGTCGAACGCCCGCGACCTCGGCGACTGGATGGGTGTGTCGAACCAGAACGTGTTCAACTTCTCGCCCTCGGCCCGCCCATTGCCTCTCGAGGTGCACATCCAGAGCTTCAACGTGCCTCATTTCCCGTCGCTCATGCTGGCAATGGCCAAACCCGCATACCTCGCCATGGTCGAGAATGCCAAGGGGCGGCCAACAATTTGCTTCGTCGCGTCGAGGAAACAGACCAAGCTTACCGCCAACGACATCCTCACATATGTGTTGGCGGACGAGGACGAGGAGCGCTTCCTCAACGTTGACCGCGCGGACCTTGAGCCTCACCTCGAGCGCCTTGACGACGAGGACCTCAAGGAGACGCTGCGGTACGGTATCGGGTTCTACCACGAGGCGCTGTCCAAGCGCGATCAGAAGATTGTCACTGCGCTCTTCGACTCGGGGGCAATCAAGGTGCTCGTCGCGTCCAAGGACACGGCGTGGTCGTTCCCCGTCGCCAGCTACATGGTCATCATCATGGGCGTGCAATACTTTGACGGCCAGGAGCACCGTTACGTCGACTATGCGATTGCCGACGTGCTCCAGATGATGGGCCGCGCGTGCCGCCCAAGCATCGACTCGTCGTCGCGATGTGTCCTCATGTGCCAGCAGACGCGCAAGGACTTTTTCAAGAAGTTCATCAACGAGGCGCTTCCTGTCGAGTCGAGCCTGCCGACGTTCCTGCACGACCACTTCAATGCCGAAATTGTCGCGCGCACCATCGAGAACAAGCAGGAGGCCGTTGACTGGTGCACGTGGACATGGTTCTACCGCCGCCTGTCGCACAACCCGGGCTTCTACAACTTGCAGGGTACGACGCCGACACACGTTGCCGAGTACCTGTCCGAGCTGGTCGAGAGCACGGTCAACGACCTCGAGCAGAGCGAGTGCATCATCGTACAGGGTGAGTTTGGGCACACATCAAAGCTGACACCAGACGACATGGACCTGCTGCCGAACAATCTCGGCATGATCGCATCGTTCTACTACATCTCATATGTGACGGTCGAGACGTTCTCGGCCTCGATAAAGGAGACAACCAAGCTCAAGGGCTTGCTCGAGATTGTCTCGTCGGCGCACGAGTTTGAGAGCATTCCGATCCGGCACCACGAGGACTCGTTGCTTGAGCGCATCTACGACCGTGTGCCAGTCAAGGTTGCCAAGCCCGACTTCCACTCGCCTTACTTCAAGACGTACCTTCTCCTCCAGGCGCACTTTAGCCGTATGCACCTGCCGGCCGACCTCACGATCGACCAGGCGTCCATCCTTGGCAAGGTCACTGGCCTGCTGAGCGCGTGCGTCGACGTCATGTCGTCCAAGTCGTTCCTAAACTGCTTGGGCGCGATGGACCTGTCGCAGATGTGCGTGCAGGGCATCTGGGACCGCGACTCGCCCCTCAAGCAAGTGCCGTACTTTGACGCGGATGTGCTGGCGCGCTTCAAGAAGGCGGACCGGGACTCGGTGTACGACATCATGGAGCTGGAGGACGACGAGCGCAACGAGCTGCTGCAGATGGACGACCGCAAGCTGGCGCGCGTGGCCAAGTTTGTCAACTCGTACCCGAACATTGAGGTGGCGTACGAGGTCGAGGACAAGGACGAGCTGGACAGCGCGACGCCCGTCACGCTGTCGGTGACGCTCGACCGCGAGGCGGACGAGGAAAACCCCGACGACATGTTGGCGGACGCGCCGCTGTTCCCGCACCGCAAGATGGTGCAGTGGTGGCTTGTGGTCGGCGACCACAAGAGCAAGGCGCTGTACGCGATCAAGAAGGTTACGGTCAAGGCGCGGCTCGAGGCCAAGCTCGAGTTCAACTTGCCCGCAGGCGAGCACGACCTCAAGCTGTACCTCATTTGCGACTCGTACGCGGGTGCAGACCAGGACTTTGACCTTGAGACGCTCAAGGTCGCGGAGGGCGACAGTGACGACGATGACAGCGACGACGGGATGGACGAGGATTAGACTGTTAGCAGTATAGATATGCATCATTAGCACTTGATACCATGGCACGCGTCAGATGGGATGTACGAGAGGCACACATTAAATGGGATGCATGAGAGGAGGGGGAGGGTGGCTACACCGAGAGCTTTGCGAGCCAGCCTTTGCGCTCGCCCTTGGACTCGTCCGTGCCCGAGTAGCCAGTAGTAAAGTCCATGTCCTCGTAGGCCACGAGACCGGTCTTGTTCCACACCTTGTATCCGACGAGGAGGACGGCGAAGAACGGGATGCCAAAGTACGTAGTAATGAAAGCACTCGTATCGAAGCGGTGGATAAAGGCCGTGAAGCCCGAGAAGACGATGACGATACCGCTGAGCGCGAGGCCATAGTACGAGAGGTACGGCTGGAACGGAGCGGTGTACGGCAGGGAGTTGCGGTCGATCCCGCGTGCGCGCAAGCCATAATGCCACCGGATAGAAGTCAGCAATATGACGCTCCACGACAACATGCCGCACACGGCACACATGGATGCGAAGTATCCGAACGCTTGCCCCGCGCTCCGGCTGGGCGCCGCGGCAAAGTACGCGAGCGGCGTAAACAGCGCGCAGAGGAGCACGCACACCCACGGCAAGCCGTCGCGGCGCGTGCGGCCGAGCCAGGCGCCGCGCGCCGCGCCGCGCGTGTACAGCCCATAGAGCGTGCGCGAGGAGATGTAGAGGTCGGCGATGGCGGCGCTCCACGCGCTGCTGAGCAGCGCGGCGTTGATGACGCTCGGGAGGACGCGGATGCCCGCGCCCTTGATCGCGATCACGAAGGGCGACTTGGCGGCCGTGCTGCCGAGGTTCAAGTCGGGGTTGGAGGGTGACACGAGGAGGCCGATGAGGAAGGCGCTGGCGACGTAGAAGAGGGCGAGGCGGAGCCAGACGCTGCGGATTGCGCGCGGCACCGTGCGCGCCGGGTTCCCCGCTTCGGCCGCGGCGACGGCCGTGATCTCCGTCCCGATGAATGCGAAGGCGGCGGAGATGAGCACGGAGAAGAAGCCGAGGAAACGGCCCCACGCGCCCGGTATGTCTTTGTACTGCACAAACCCGCCCGTTTCGTGCCAGTACCGGAAGCCGATGGGGGCGCCGGTGGGCCCGCCGCCGGAGGTGATGACGACGGAGATTATGATGAGCCCGATGATGGTGATGACCTTGATCGACGCGGCCCAGAACTCGATCTCGCCGAAGACGCGCGTCGAGCCCACCACGTTCGCGAGGATCACAACGGCAAGCATGATGCTCACCCACAGCGCGTTGCTGCATACCCCGGCGCGGCAGGTGGGGTCGGCGCCCGCCGGCGTCCAGTATGTGATTATTACCGCGGCGGCAGAGAGCTCGGCGGGGAGGAGGACTGGGTGAGCGCGCACGCAGGAGCCTTACTGATGTAGCAGTACCAGTAGAGCCAGCCGATGGCGAAGCCGACTTCGGGCGCGAAGAAGCGGCCGGCGAGCGCGAGCTGCGCGCCGGGGATGGGAAACGCCGAGATCATCTCGCCGAGGGCTACCATGACAGAGTACAGCAGCGTCGCCATCAGCACGTACGAGAGGAGCAGGCCAGCAGGCCCCGCATTCTGCAGGTTGGTCGCGGTGCCGATGAACAGACCAGTGCCGATGACGCCGCCGATTGCGATCATTTGGCTGTGGTTAGCGGCGGAGCGTGGCCCACACGGGCGGCCGGGCGGTTAGCCAGCGGCCAGCCACACCCAAGCGGAAAGAGGCGCGGCCACTCACACATGCCGGCTCTTGAGGGAGCGGTGCAGCGTGCCGACCTCTGGCGCCGCGCCGAGAACCTTTTCGTTCGCGTCTGCGTTCGGAATCGAAGCCGTGATGGAGGGAGGACCGGCCGCAGCGGCGGCCGGGCTCGGTATCCTGCGTGCGTCGTGCTCGGGCGGGACGAAGGACATGGCGAAGTAAAGAACGAGAACTGGCTGCGTCTCATCAGTGTCATGGATCATGGAGGGCAAGGGCCGGAGCTAGCTAGCCGCCGAGGACGGATCTCGGCGAGTCGAGTCGGAGTCGACTACGAAAGCATGCCAGCCTCCCGCCGCCGTGTGCAGGCGGGCTTGTCATGTCGCCTTGCTCGCTGTTCTGAGCTTCATGCATTGGAGTTGCTTGCGCGCGGTGTAGATTTATTAAGCACAAGTCGAGTGATATTTGGTGGGATGAGATTGTCGAAATTCTGACAGGGACTGTGAACACGTGCCCCCACCCGGCGGGTGCCTGGGCGTGTTGTTCGACTTTGGCAGGCGTTCCGTTTGGGGTGCATAGAGTCGTCGTAGCGGCTTCATTGGCGCTGTGCAAAGCAAACGCGCTGCTTTAGCCCCGAATACATATGTGCACAAGTGCCCCGCCGTGTACAACCTACATCTCCACGCTCAGCATGCCCTCAAAATCAAACTCGTCGAGGCCGGGGAAGAGCATGTTCATGGCGCCCTGCGGCGCATCCGTATTCGCCAATTTCTCCTTCACCAGCTCAAAGAACGAGCACAGGTCCGTGTCGGCGCGCACCGTCCCCGTCTTGACGTCGGCAGCGTACACGAGCGCATCGAGCGCCTTGACGCAGTGCTTACTCCTCGGCCCAATGACGCTCGAGAACACGTCACGCGCCTGCAGCAGGCTCGTGCGGCTGTCCATGTTGCCGAGGACGTAGTCCATGGCGAGCACGACGACCGCGCCAAGGACCCAACGCACGGCGAAGCGCGGGCGGATGCGCGGCTTGGCGTTGAACACCAGCTGCGCCTCGACGATGCGGCGCGCGCTCTCGACGCATGCGCGCCGCGAGACTTCCAGCGAGGGGTCGTTGACGGAGCGCATGAGGAAAGGGCGGTGGGCGCGCAGGATGCGGTTGTTCACGCTCGTGATTACCATGTGCAGCATCCAGGAGGTTTCGAGGGACGCCGGCGGCGGGACTTGGGCTAGGGCGTGCCGCAACTCGTGGTCGTACTCCATCGTTTGCTCGTGCGTGAGCTCGGCCGAGTCGTTGTGATACTTGTGCAAAGTGACGCAGAATGCGTTGGCGGACTGTGTGTGAGCTCAGAGCGGGGAAGTCGGAACGCACCCGTGGCAGACCCGCGGGTGTGACGACGTGAGTTGGCAGCTCTGGGTAGTCGACGTCGGATGGAACTTTGCGATTCGCAGGAATCGGCGTCGTCACTGCCGTCAGAAGGACGCAACAAACTATACACGTACTGTTCATCAAGCGCCAAATGCTACGGCGACGCGGGATCGTCGTGTCCATAAACTGAACAATGTGCGCGAGTTGCTTGCACAACTCATGCGCGGCGTGCGGCGATAAGCCCGCAAGCGCCGGATCGTCCAATGGCGCAGTGTTCCAGTCGTCGGTCATGATGTCGAGGTCAAGCCAGAGCAGCGTAGACACCGCCGCATCCAAGTGCCGCAGCACAATGTTCTGGCGCTTGACGTCGTCGTCATCGTCTCCAAAGTGCTGTGGTCAGCTGGGCAGTGGCACATGTGTTAAACAAACGGCAGGATATGCCGCGAACTGGACTCACGAAAAGAGTGACAACATAGAGGATTGCGCACTGAATGTGGCGTAGTTGCGGAACGGCCAGATACTCTGCCGCTTCGAGGGCATTCAAACTCGACTGGTACAACGCCTGCGGAATGAGTTCCATGTCGCTCTCGGAATACCCTGGGAAGAGGGCTGCCATGTTTGGGCTGATCTTGGTCGATATGGCCAGTACCTGGCATCAGCTGACGCACCGCTGCCCCCCTCACAATGAGATACAGCGCAAGCCACGACGCATCGACCTCGCCTGCCTCGAACGCCGCGTGCCGTTCCCGGAAAGTCCGCTCGTCCATGACGTACCAGCACAGATGTACTGGTCCGGTGAAGAACTCGTCCAGCAGAGCCGCGCACGTCGTCCGATGGGGGAGCATGCTGATCGCCGTATCTATGAGCACCTGTCGCTGCGCGGCCGTATCCCATGGAGCGGGCGCTTGACTGCGCTTCTTCGGTCGAGATCCAGGACCGACGCCGACGATGGTGTCCTCGAGGGTGGAAACCGTGACCTCGATTCCATCTTTGCGACGCTGCGGGCCTTTGGGCGCAGTGTATGGCGAGTGAACGGTCGAGCCGCCATTGCTTGTGTGGCTAGGGTGGTGAGTGCTCGGCCCCGTGTGCGAGTGAGAGTGCGTGTGCGATTGTGAGTAGACGAGCGCGCGTAGGTCGCGGAGCTCGGCGCGGAGTGCGTCAAGATCGGAAGCGAGAGCGTATGCGGGCCTGCGTAAGCCGCAAAAAAGACTGGCGTGACTCACTGCTCAGGCGCATCCTCCCAGTAGCAGTCGCCGGGGCGGCCGCGCTTGATACACGAGTCACAGGGCGTCTTGCCGAGCGCCGAGCACTTTGTCTTGCGCCGCTTACACTCTGTGCAAGAGAGTGCGCGGCGTCCAGACTTTGCCTCGGAGCGTGGGCGTTTTGATGGGCCTTGGTCAGTGTCTGAAGCCATGAGAGAGATGGAGTGGAAATGGAGAGAGTAGCATTGTGTGGTTCTGTGTGAGTCGGGTGAGCCTCCACTTGTGCCCTCTACCCGAGATCCGATACTGCCTCGGGGACCGGGGACCGGGGTCATTCCGCGCGGGATGGAGTGGGGCAGCCTTCAGCGAGCCTGGAGGGTCATGTTTCGCGTTTCGTCCTCCAACTGCCATTCCACTTCCCACATCTCTTCTCATGGCCACCCTCGTCTACCACGGCACACCCACCCTCTATCCAGAAGCCGAAGGCGACGGGCGGATGGGTGCCGTGCGCTTTTCCGCCCCCGTACGCCTCAGCAGCCTGCGCGTCATCCCCGACGGCGTCGAGTGTCCTGGTGGCGTCGGGTACGTCTGCCCAGCGACGCACCAAGTTGACACCAGTCACACCTCGCCTGGAGAGTTCACCCTCGAAATCCTCCTCAACGTTGCTCCCTCAGACCCGGTGAATGCGCTCGCGCGCACCTCTGCGCGCGTCACTGCCGCCCCGCACGCATTGGAGTATGCGCTCGACATGCCGGAAGGCGTAAGATTCGCATGCCGACTGGGCTGAACGCAGACTGCGACCCGCCTTGTGGTCCTCCGTGCGCCGGCACGCCGCATTACGCTGAGTTTGTACGCACACGCGGATGAGGCGACGCCTATGCCCACGGCAAGAGCACACTCGCCTATCGCGGCCTTGAAGCCATGTCCACTGCGCTTCGCTGCGCCCGACACGCTGCTTGCCTCTCTTTCATCTCTTGATGGAGACGGGAAACGTCGCGCGCTCGCAGCACTCGCCCTCCTCGCCCAGCGGGACTGGACACTAGTTGCCGCGCTGGCATCTCCACACATTCGGAGTCTTCTCGAAGAGGGAGGCGAGGCCGCATCTGCATCAATTCTCGGCCTTGATACACCACATGGATCCCAACAATCTCTCGCCGCCCTTCTCGCCCTTCCGTCCAACCCGTGGGGTACAGTCTACCCTTTAACAGAGGCGCCGCTGGCCCGCGTCCTCCGTCTCGCCGAGGCGCAAGCGGCTAGCACGCATCCTCGGGCAGGAGAAGCTTTGGCAACCACCATCGGACGTCTCTTCGCTGTTCTAGAGGCACATCCATCAGGCCCAGCTGCAGCGCGGCTGACGCGCGCTCTCCCACCCCTCGTCGCGAACGCGGTCACCCGTGGGTCACAAGTATCTCTGCCAGCCTCTCTGGACGCGCGCGTCGTTCTTCGTGCCCTCTTGCCCGCCACCGCCACCGTGGCAGCGGGTATGTCGTGCGCACCCGCCGCGCAGGTACTGGCGGCACCCTTCCTCCCACTTCTATCCAAACATGACCCCTTGCGGCGGGCGTGGGAGCCATCAGCTCTCCGCTATGCGCCCAGCGCCAGCGCCTCCCCAATGCCTCGCGCATCCCCACTGCCCACTGTACATGTCGACCCGCCACAGGAGTCGCAGATCTCCCCTGCTACAGTGTCGCGCGTCCAGCGCTGCCTGGATGCACGCTCTGGCTCCATTCTGCTCTCGCCCACGCCTGCCGAACTGCTGGCTGCCATTGCACCCGGCTTGCTTGGCGCACTCTCGACGGCGAAAACGCCGCCGCTCGGCATACCCGCGTCGCGCGCGGCACATGGGAGCGCTAGCGACTACGCCGGCAAAGTGTACTCGGCGCACGAGTTCCGGCGGGAGCGTGAGATGGTCTCTGGCCTGGGGGTGGGCGCGTCGAGTGCGGGGCGCAAGGCGAGCCGGCACGTGGATGACTTTGGGTCGTAGGCGGAGCCTCCAGGCGAGGCAACGACGACCGTCCTACATATGTAACAATACATGCAGCGTTGTACTAATACCTTGCACAAGAAATTCCCGGCATCTTGTAACATGGCTACAGCGTTGTACAGATATCTACCACGGCTGAGCCTGCTGCCGCATGTCAATGACGACACGGCCTTTGATCGCGCCCTTCTCAAGCTCCTGGTATATCTCCTTGATGGCGCTCATGGGCCGCACCTCGAGCTCGACCTTGATTTTACCGAGCGCGACGAGTGCCAGCGCCTCGGCGCAGTCGCGGCGGTTGCCTACGGCGCTGCCGATGATCCTGTGTCCCTCAGTGACCATGCGGCATGGGTCGACGGCAATCGTGCCGGAGGCCGGAAGGCCAACGCAGACCACGACGCCGCGGGGGGCGAGGTATTCGAGGGCCTGGTGTCAGTCTACTCTGACTGTTCTCTCTCCTCTCACCTGCTGATAAGGCTCTATAACCCCCGCCGTAACAATCGCAGCCTGCACGCCACCCCCCGTAACCGCCTTGACGGCCTGCACCACGCCTCCGTGGCGGAAATCGACAAATTCCGCCCCATACCCCTCGACCAGCGCACGCTTGTCGCCCGAGTCGATGCCGACCACGCGCAGATTCATCGCCAGGGCATACTGCACCGCGAGGTGTCCGAGCCCGCCCCCCGCGCCGGGGACGGCGACCCACGCGCCCGGCCGCAGCCCCGCGCCCACGAGCGCCTTGTACGTCGTCAGCCCGGCGCAGAGGATGGGCGCGGCGACGTGCAGCGGCACGCCCGCGGGGATGGGCACGAGGTGCGCCGCCGCCACGGCAATGTACTCCTGGAACGTGCCGTCGCGCGAGATGCTCGCGATCGAGACCTGCGTCTCCGTCAGCGCCGCCACGCCGCACGTACCTCTGCGCAGTACATGTCGTCGCCGTCGAGACAGGCGGGGCAGGACATGCACGTGTCCGCGATGAACTTGACGCCGACGCGGGCGCCGAGCGCGCACCGCGCGCCGGGGCCGAGCGCGACGACGTGGCCCACGCCTTCGTGCCCCGAGATTATGGGGGCGACGGGGGCGTGCGTCCCCTCGCCCATGGAGAGGGCGACGTCGGAGTGGCACACGCCCGAGAAGGCGAGGCGGACGAGCGCTTGGCCCGGCCCGAGCGCGGCGGGCTGCGGCGTCGCGACGGCGCGCAGGGTGGGGTAGGTGCCCTGGTGTCAGCGAGGCAAGTGCTAGCGGAAGGGGGACGCACGATCTCGTCGGAGACGCAGGCGGTGTGTGTTGATGGGATGGACATGGTGGCTGGAGAGAGAGAGGGGGGCGTGGGTTTATGAGACACAGCCGGCGCACCGGCGTTCTGCGCGCCGAGAGTTGCTTTCGCCGAGGTCCGCGGCTGTTGTGTTGTATGCGATGATGGATGTTGCACTCGAGTTGTGGAGTGCGGGATGCATAGCTGGGCATGAGGGCTCGCGTTGCTCGTTCAGATGTCATCTTATGCGCCACTATGGACGCGGTGAACCATCATCGCACAGACGTGACATCTTGGCAACTCGCAGATGAAAGAAGGGACGGAGGAGGAACCAAACAACTCGCTTTCTCCGAGTGCCCTCGGCTTCACCACCGACTGCTACTGGATCCAACACCACCCGCGCTTCTCGCACTTGCGCACGCAAAACTCGAGCGCCGGCAGCGCATACGGCCAGAAGCGCTCCTCCCACCCGTCTTTGCCCGGGCCCGGCTCGAGCGCGCCATGCGGCATGCCCTCCGCCTCCACGAGCTTGCTCTCCACCCCGAGATCACGGAGGCGTGCGTGCGCGTCCCGCGTCTGCTGCGGGTCGAGCAGCTCGTCGTCGGCGGCAAGCACCCACACCGAGGGCGGGAACGACGCGTCCATCAACCGCACCGGATTCTGGATGTCGGGGTACGGCGGCGCGTGGCCCGTCATGAACTCGTTGAGCGACGCCGAGTTGATTGCCTGCCGTCAGCTTGCGGGTGGGGGGAGGGGGACGCACGGCGCTCGCCCACGTCGCGCGCGGCGACGAGCCGTCCTCGCTCCTGCGGTTAGCTGCGCGGTGCGGGGGCGCACCAAACGTCGTGCGCCGTGCTGACGGGCTCGAAGAGGAGGGCATCGATCTTGCGCCGCGCCCACTTTGGCAGCGCCGCAATCGCCTCCTCGTACGGCGTGTAGTCGCGGAAAATGCGCCCGTTGAGATCCGCGAGCGGGTAGGCGACGTAGTTTGCCTTTGGGAGAGGGAGGCCGGCGGTGGCCGCGTCGACGGACTGTGTCAGCGCACGCGCCGGGGGGACGAACCACCAACATGGCGGCGGTGCCGCCCGCGCTGCCCCCGAAGACAAAGTTGCGCTCAGGCTCGAGCCCGAGTGCGGGATACAGCCCCGGCAGGTCGTGCAGGACCCAGCGGTAGCCGTCGAGCAAGTCGTGCCGGATTGCGCGCAGGCGCACGCTGCGGTTAGAAGGGAGGGGGGCGGACGGACTGTGGACACATCCGGTATTCGAGGGACACGACGGCAAAGCCACGCTCAAGGAGGTATGCGAGGTGGCCGGAGAAGACGTGCTGCGAGTCCGCCGTCGTGAATGCCCCACCGTGGTATGTGATGCCTGAGTGAGCGGACGGAGGGGGGGGGAGCAGGGGCTCACCGACGGGGACACGCCCGGCTTTGATCTTGTCGGGCAGCGGAAGCCACACGTCTGCGTGACACCCGCCCGTCATGGACGGCAGCACCTCTTTGAAGAGGTGGCGGGTGTACTCGAAGCCTTCGCGGGATGTGGGCATGGCGGGATGGGGATGGGAGTGGGAGAGGTGGCGAGGAGGTGGATGTGGGTTTGGGTGGAGAGTGATGTGGCACCGGGCCGATCCCACCGGCATTCCTCATATCAAGGCGGAGATTTGAGAATAATAACGCTTGACTCGGGCTTCAATCCACTTGCTCGATGTCGGTGTGCGCAGCGGCATCGTTGTGGGCTTGGCCGCGACTGCGTTTGGCTTTGTACATGGACTGATGTCTGTCGCGTATTCATCACCCAAGGCCATGTTCTGACTCTTCCAGACTGATCTCACTGATCAAGCTCGACTTGACGTTCTCTTCCTGCCTCCCCGCCTAACCCCCGCCCCCCCTCCCACCCCACATGGCCTATAATCCGCCGGGCCCAGCGCCACATGAAGCGGAAGCGAGACAGGTCTGAGCGCCGGAGAAAGTCATCGCCGGCGGCGCCTGATGACACTATACTCAGCCCTGCAGATCGACAGCATCCGAGCGCCGCGCCAGCATTATCGAGCCGCACATCTCCGAGATACGTAAAGTACAACATAGTAGTGAGCAGTGACAATCACGCGCGGGCGCGCGCACGCTCGAGCTCGGCCCACGGGTCTTGGCAGAACGAGTCGCGCCACAGCGCACCGCCATCTCTGTTTCCGCCGCCGTGGGCATGGGCATGGCCATGGCCATGACCGTTACCATGGCCACCATGGCCACCATGGCCACCGTGGCCACCGTGGCCACCATGCGACCCTCCATGACCATGCCTTGCTTGTCCGAAGCCTCCGCCGCCGCCGCCGCCGCCGCCGCCGCCCCCTCGACCCCGCCCCCTACCCCGCCCCCTCCCGCGCCCACGCCCACGCCCCCAATCCCGTCCATCGCCTCCACTAGGCCCCGCGCCCACGCCCTCGCCCACACCGTCGCCCACACCCGCACCCCCGCCCCCTCCGCCGCGGGGATCGCTCGCGGGCCAAGTCGGACACGGCCTCTGAATGTCAGCCACGTCTGGAACACGAAACCAAACCAAACCACACAGCCAAACCAAATACCAGAAGGCCCGGTATCCGGTAATGTGCGGCGGCTGTGATTCGCCGCGGCGCAGGCCCTGACTGGGCTGGCTTTGCCTGGCTTGGTCGGGGCCCGAGCGCTGTATCACTCACTTTGACGCCCGAGACGGGCGCACTGGCCTCGGGGGAGGTGGGGCGGGCACGGCGGCGGGCGCCAACAGTGCCGCGGGGGCCTCGGGTGCTGGGTTGTCCGCGGGAGGGTTGGGGTTGGGGGTGCTTGCCTTTCTTCCCGAAGGACATGGGGAGGTCGAAGGCTTCCATGGCGAGGGGAGGGGGGGAGAGAACGGAGGAGGAGGTGGGTGGCCAAAGCAAGCGGCGGAGGCGGAAGATGATGGTTGATGGATGCCGAGGAGAGGGACGATTGGAGGATGCAGACGCGGATATTTACAGAGGGGAGCGGATAAATTACGGCTTGGGCCGGAAAAGATAAGCGGGTTTAGCTGTGCCTCCAGTGCCTCTGGCATTGCCCTCTGGCGATGCATGATGCGCTCTGACACGGCTACATGCACGTCGTGCATGTCTTGATCACGGCAAGAGTTGATCTGAACAGATACGATGCATGGAATAGTCGCCACTCGCCACAACGCACGATGCATACACGTCCCAGACCAGGAATTTGATTTCCGAGAGGCAGAGTGGAGGTTGACGAGGACAGCGCGTCGGAATGCAATGCGCGGCACCGCCCGAATCTCGGGATAAAGCTTTGAGTGATATCCTGACGGAGCAGAAGGGCAGCGCAGCTCGGAGAGGGCCGAGGCGAGGCGCACAAGACATGCTGCAAGCTGGTTTGTCGGCCCAGCATGTCCGGTGCCAAGGTGTCAGTGGGCCGGTGGGCGGGGGCAACAGAATGACGCGTTAGCTCGCTGATGCGTGCGGGTGCAGGTGCAGGTGCAGGCGCGGGTGAGGGTGCGGGTACGGGTGGGCATATGGGCATGAGAGCATGAGAGCACGAGAGAGAGCGAGGGATGGCGTCCCGCTTGCGTCGCTTGCAAGATGCCAGCATGGAGAGCGATTTTTTGGATGCCGGATGTCCGGTCCGTGTCATTTTGGCAGACATAATAGAATTACCCTGAATTAACAGCTGTGTGTGCAGTTCGAGCTGGCAACAACAATCTGATCCTCTCTACTCTACTCATCCTCTCATCCTCATCCTCATCCTCATTCTCGTCTTTTCCATTCTCGAGACACACCATCCTCCTCATCCCCCGCCCCCTCCCCTATCCACCCCTCCCCTCCCACTCCCACTCCCCCCCCCACCCAAAATGTCCTCTGACAAGGGATCATCCTCCGCTATCGGCGCGATCACCTCGACCGCAGGCGCCCTCATCAAGCCAGGAGAGTCCGAGCTCCAACGCTGGAAGCGTACCTTTGACAAGAACGCCGGGGTCGAGGTCAACGGCGAGAAGTGAGTTGCTAGGACGAGAATGCGGAGGGGATTGGACCAAGCCCAAGCAAGGCGACACTGCGAGCTTGCAACAGCGACTGCGCCAACGCGGTCCACAGCCAAACTGGCCTCTCTCTCTGAAAGCCGTCTCGCCATCGAGCAAATCTTGATGCACGACTTGCAGCAGCACCCGCCGCCACTGTGACCATGACGCCGCGGTTGCTTGCTCGGTACGCAACCCTGGCTACGCTACGTGTCGAGGGTGCCGTGTCATGACCCAGGTTGGCGTGCACGGGCATGCATGAGTGACCATGTGGGCAAATGTACAAGTGCACCCCACTGCTGCCGCAGACAGTGCGGCGGCAAGCGGTGACGCTTTGCTCGATGGTTGACGGCGCGCCGATAAAAGACGCGCGGGCAGTGCTCGGGGCGGTCGGTGGCCGAAAATTCGTTTACGAGTCGTCACCCGGCGGCAACAAACCACCCGGCCCTTCCCCCCCTCTGCACAAGCATCCTTCGCAATCGGCTGACCCCCGCTCCCAGGTTCCTCAACGCAGACCAGTTCATCAACGCCATTGCACCCACAGATGAGGGCTTCAACCGCATCAAGCGCCAGCAGTACAACGTTCGTGAGTAGCAAGCAAAACCAGACACGCCAAGTCGCTTCCGCTGCCGGTGACTACCGGCCCTTCCCGTCCCTTACCTCTCGGCCGATGCGCTAATCCGTCACAGTCTTCCAGGTCGCAGACGCAAAAAAGCGCGGGCTCGTCTCCTTCAACGACTTTGTGCTCTTTGAGACGCGTGAGTGTGGCGGAAGAAACCATGCATGCTAGGTTGCTTGGACGATAAACTGACGCCAGTGCTGAAACGCGTATGTCCGATACGGAATGAGTGCAGGGGCCCTTGCTAACATCATCAGCCCGATGCCGACTACCAGCTCGCCTTCTCGGTCTTTGACGCGTAAGTTTTCAAACAAAGGCAGTGAACTCATAACAGCGACGCGTCGGGCACGATCGACTATGAAGAGTTCAAAAATGTCATGGGCAACAACATCAAGGACAGTGGCATCCGTGGGTATTTCCGACCGGCAGTAGCCGGCCCACCTTTTTTTTGAACCCTGGCACTTACTGACCCAACAGCGTTCAACTTTGATTGCGACTGGAGCAAGCTGTACCTTGGCAAGCGCGGCAACGCGCACACGCTCGACTACTCGCAGTTCACTCAGCTCATCAAGGGCTTCCAGGGCGAGCGTCTTCGTCAGGCTTTCCACTTCTTTGACAAGGACGGCGACGGGTACATCAGCCCCGATGAGTTCCAGCACATTATCACCGAGATCGCTGGGCATAAGCTGTCCGAGTCGGTGCTTACCCGTCTGCCCACGCTATGCACACTGAACCCTGGTCGCAAGATCAGCTACTCTGAGGTCATCGCGTTCAACAACAGTGAGTAGTCGGTGGGCGCCTCGGCATTGTCGGGAATTGCGATATCCATGCTAACCCCGGCAGTTATCCGTGACATGGACGTAGTCGAGCGTCTGCTGAACCGCGCCGTGCGCAAGTCCAAGGACGGTCGCATCAGCGTGTCCGACTTCCTCAACGAGTGCGCCGCCAACCTCCGCTACGGCGGCTTCACTCCGATGGAGGCCAATATTATCTGGCACTTTGCCTCGCGCGGTGGCGGCCTCGCGACCGCTAGCGAGCGTCTCACCATGGCCGACTTTGAGCAGCTCCTCGACGCCAAGTGGAACCCACCAACAAACGTCGTCTCTGATCTCAAGGCCTCGCGTGGCTTCGCTCACCAGCTCGGCGAGAGCACGTGGAACTTTGTTCTCGGCGGTATCGCTGGTGGTATTGGTGCCTTTGCCGTGTACCCCATCGACCTTGTCAAGACGCGTCTTCAGAACCAGCGCTCGAACGTTGTCGGCGAGGTCATGTACCGCAACGCGTTCGACTGCATCAAGAAGGTGTACACTACTGAAGGAGGTGTTCGCGCCTTCTACCGTGGTGTGCTTCCTCAGCTGGTCGGTGTCGCCCCCGAGAAGGCCATCAAGATTACCGTCAACGAGCTTGTGAGGAAAAAGCTCACCGACCCCGAGACAGGCCGCATTCCTCTTTGGGCCGAGCTTGTCGCCGGTGGTACTGCTGGTGGTTGTCAGGTCGCTGTTACCAACCCCCTTGAGATTGTCAAGATTCGTCTGCAGATGGCCGGCGAGATGGCACGCATCGAGGGCAGCGCGGCACCGCGTGGGGCTATCCACGTTGTCAAGCAGCTGGGTATCGTGGGTCTGTACAAGGGTGCGGCGGCCTGCTTGTGGCGTGACATTCCTTTCGTGAGTTTCCGCAAAGAGAGAGAAGCGATAGCCCCGCTAACCTCAGTCCATGATCTACTTCACCGCCTACGCACACCTCAAGAAGGACTTTTTCGGAGAGGGCAAGCGCGGCAAGGTGCTCTCGTTCGGCGAGCTCCTCCTCGCGGCCGGTATCTCGGGTATGCCCGCGGCGTACCTCACCACCCCTGCCGACGTGGTCAAGACGCGTCTTCAGACTCAGGCGCGCGCCGGGCAGACGGTGTACAAGGGCGTCATCGACGGCTTTGTCACCATTGCCCGTGAAGAAGGGGCCCGCGCTCTCTTCAAGGGTGGTCTTGCGCGTGTCATCCGTTCGTCGCCCCAGTTCGGTGTCACTCTTGCGTGCTACGAGCTTCTGAGCAAGTCGTTCCCGTACCCTGGCGGAGAGAAGGCGACCGAGGCCGTGCGCCCCACGCGCGAGTCACACACGGACATCTCACGCATCCGCGCGCGCAACGGCCTGCGTATTCTGCTCGACTGCTCGAGCCGCTTTGGCATCCACAACTCGGAGACGGCGACCAAGGCATTCGGGGCGTACCCCAAGGCGTTCAGCGGTTAAGCCGTGCGGGCGGGAGGATGGAGGAGGGGAGATCGGAGGCGGTGCACCACATCATTGCATGGCCGGGGCGGGGGCCGGGGGCCGGGGGGAGGAGTAGATCGCGCGCCTGGCGGCGCCGGCGATGTAGATTCAGGTATAGTTCACTCTGTCTGCCATTGGGACATTGGTTGTTGGGTATGAATTCATGCCCCTGCGCGGTTGGACAGAGTACGAGTACAGTAGGCATGTCCGATGAGATCGTATCAAGCTATCGGCACTACCCTCGGCGAGGCACAGCCTCGGCATTGTTATCTCGCCTGATCGCTTGCTGACGCGGAGGCCGCTGCGCCGATCGGCCGAGCAAGATACGCGCGGAAATGCGCTAAAACTCGCGCCTATCACACGCCACGACAGGCACAGCCCGACCTCCACACGTGACGCCCACTCCCTCCGGCACAGCGACGAGCATCCTCGACGCGCTTTCTTGTCAACCACTCCATGTCCCACTTGCATCAGAGTAAGTCGTCGCGCGGCCATGATGAGGACGCTGGGGCTCGCACACCTCCGGGACATGCCGACACGCCAGCCATGCTAATCAATACTCTCTGAGCCGGTGACATCCACCTCCACCCCTCTGTGGCGGCTGACGCAAGCCCTCTTCCTCGCGCCGATAGTGCACGCGCCTGCGCGCACGCAGCTCGACGTCTTTCCCGCGCTGCTGGCCGTGCGCGGCGGCCGTGTGGCGTGGCTCGAGCGCCTCCCCTCACTGGCGCGCGCGCACGCCGACGCCGCCGCGGCGCGCCGCGGCATCGAGCTCCGAGACGTCGTGGTGGTGGACGAGGGATTCCTGTGCCCAGGCATGGTGGATACGCATACGGTGGGTGTGCCACCGCCCGCCGGATGTGCTGACCCCAGCATGCACCGCAGTACCCGAACAACGGGCTCGGACACTCGCTCCAGCTCCTGGAGTGGCTTGACGAACTCACATTTCCCCTCGAGAAGCAGTTCTCGGATGACGAATACGCCCGCGAGGTATATGGCCAGGTCGTGCGGCGCAATTTGGCCGCTGGCGTGAGTCACGGCCCCGGAACGCGGCTCACCCCAGACAACAACAGCCTGCTACTACGGCACACTGCACGTGCCCGCGACGCTGACGCTCGCCGAGGTCGCGCTGGAGGCGGGGCAGCGCGCCCTCGTCGGTCGCTGCAGCATGGACCGCGCCAGTCCGCCGGACTACGTCGAGGCGGACTGCGCCGCGTCCATGGCATCCACGCACGAGTTTCTCGACCTCTTCCCGCGCTTCTGCGCGAACACGCCGTTGCCGCTCAACGGGTCGTCGAACGGCACATCCAACCAGCCGCTCGTCCGCCCGATCCTGACGCCACGCTTCGCGCTCTCGTGCTCTCCGCCGCTGCTCGCGGCGCTCGGCCAGCTAGCAGAGGCCAAGCACCTGCCGATCCAAACGCACATCAGCGAGAACGGCGCCGAGATCGCGGCCGTGCGCAAAGCGTTCCCCGCCGCACCGCACTACGCGGGCGTCTACGACGCCTTCGGCCTGCTCACGCCGCGCACGATCCTCGCGCACGGCGTACACCTCTCGCCGCCCGAGGTCGCGCTCATCGCGCGCCGCGGCGCCGGCGTCTCCCACTGCCCCACGAGCAACGTCAACCTCAACTCGGGCGCCGCGCGCGTCCTCGCCCTCCTCGACGCGGGCGTGCGCGTCGGCCTCGGCTCAGACTGCTCCGGCGGGCCGGGGACCGGCGTGCTCCCCGCCCTCCGCGGCGCGGACGCGATGAGCCGCATCCTCGCGTTCGAGGGGCGCGCCGAGCGCGGCCTCAGCATCCCCGAGCTCTTCTACCTCGCTACGCGCGGAGGCGCCGAGATCGCGGGCGTCGACGCGGGCTCGTTCGAGCCCGGGCGCGAGTTTGACGCGCTGTGGATACGCCCGCGCAGCCCCGGATTCTGGGCGGGCGGGGATACGCGCGCGCTCTTTGAGAAGTGGCTGTTTGCCGGCGACGACAGGGATATTGGCGCTGTGTGGGTGCGCGGTCGCTGTGTGAGCGGCGCGCCGCCATGAGTATAGACAGTACAACATGCATTTTGGGTCTTGGGATCGGGTATGGAGAGGGGGCTAGAGCCTCACGCGGCCCGTGCTGTGTGCCAGCTCGGCGAGGGCCACGTCGTCGGACTCGACGAGCGTGCTCCGGCCCATTGCGAGTTCCGCGGCGCGGTCGAGCGCGCCGCTGTAGTGGTACTTGAGCGCGGAGCTGCCGCGGATCGTGCTCGCGCTCGGCGTCGAGTCGCGCTCCTCGAGCGACGGTCGGGCCGGCAGCACGAGTTCGGCGTGCACGGCCAGGAGGGCATCGAGGACGTCGGTGAGCTGGTATCAGCGTCTCGCACCTCACCAAAACGGGTCAACCAAGTGCCCTAATCGCAACTCACCGCGCGCGACTTGGCACGCCCCACAACGTCCCATGCGCGCCCCGCCTCGAGCACCGTCGCGACCTGCTCGCACCGCCGCGCGATGTGCGGGATCGCGCCCTCCGCAACCTTGCGGAGCGTGCGCACCGCCTCCTGTCCCCCGTGCAGAGGCAGGAGGGCGAGCACGCACAGCTCCTGCACTTCGGCGGGGGCGGCGGGAAGGGCGGCGAGCAGCGCGGGCGTGGCGGGCCGGTCGTGTTCCACCGCGAGCGTCGCGACCGCGACGGCGAGCGTGGGGTCCGGGCGCGCGAGGAGCGCGTCGGCCAAGCCGTCGATGAACGCGGGGGACGCGTGCCCGATCGCGGCGTGCACGCCCTTCATCCATACGTGGGCGAAGTGGGGCGTGATGCGTGCCAAGCTTGTTGCGAGGGTGCGTGCGCGCGTGGGTGGGTCTTCGGACTCGCACGCGATCTCGAGGGCTTCGAGCGCGCGCTGTGCCATCTCTTCTTTCCGCACGGCGTCGGGGGCGGAGGAGAGGGCGTCGAGATGGCTGTTGGCTGTGAGTCGCGGGAGGTTGGCGTCGACCTTGGCGAGCAGGCGAAGGGTCTGTTGTTAGCTCCGCTGCGGCGGGGCTTACCTCGCGCCGGACGGTGCTATCCCCCGAGTCCACGCCGGCCATGAGCGCGCCCATGTGCGCCTCCGTCAGCCCCTCTTGCCACACGAGCGGGAGGGAGGCAAGGCACCGTAGTACGAGCACGCGAGTGTTGGGGGCGGGTTTGGGCTCAAGCCTGTCGGATTTGCGAGGACTGGAAAGGCTAGAGCGGCTGGATGGGCGCTCTTTCCCTTTCCCCTTTGTCAACAGCAAGCCGCGCAGATGCTCCAGTAGCGGCTCGGAGACCGGTTCACCGTCGACAGCGTGAAGGGCCGTGACGAGCGTGCAGACTTCCAAGAGGCAGGCTAATGTCAGCTCGGCCTGAAGACCGCAGGACGTACCATGCGCCCACCCGCCCGCACCGGGAGCCGTAACCACCTCTACGATCTCGTCGGCCAGCGCGCGGCTGCGCTCTATCACGTGTGATTTCAAGTCCAGCCCGTCGTCCGCAGACAGCGTCGTCAGCGTTGTCACCAGCGCTCCCAGCGCGCGGATAAGCTGCATGAGCAGCGGACTCGGGACGAGATGCCGCGCCGTCGCAGCGAACAGCGTATCGCACTGCCGCCGCCGCCGATCAGGATTCTCTTCCCGTACCCCAGCCTACCGTCAGCAGCGCCCAGCGCCACGCGGCGGCCTACCTCCAGCGCGTCCGCGAAGCTCTTGACGACAGACGCGAGCACGCCCACGTCCTCTTCGCGGCGCATGCGCCGCGCAAGCTCCTTCAGCCCCACGTGCGCGCCCAACACGCGGAGGGCTTGCAGCGTGCGCTGCCGCACAGCAGGCCTGGCGTCAGACAGCTCCGTTCACACTCACATGTCGTGCTCGAGCAGCCGCGGCCCCAGGAGGGGGAGGACGGCAGGCGCCAGCTCCGTGCTGGGGAGGGCTATGGTCGCCGCGAGCGCCATGAGGATGTGTGGTGGGCTCGTGCTCGCCAGGTCCTTCCGCACCGTGTTGATGAGGAGGAGCGCGACGTCGTGGCCCCGCAGCCGCTCGATGAGGAAGCGGTAGCCTGTGCGACGGTGGGCGGCGCCCGCTTCCGCCAGCTTGAGGGCGGGGACGAGGGCGAAGTCCGTGTCGACTGGCACAGTGCTCGCCGTCGTGCAGGTCAAGAGGATGATGAGGGTCTCGGCGATCTTGGACTGGAGTTAGCGACACCGCAGGAAGCTCACGTTGCTCGCGTTGCCGTCGAGCACGGCGCGGCAGCGCTCCACTTCCGCCGCAATCGCCGCGTCCGCCGCTTGTGGGGGCGCGGCGTCGAGCCGCGCTAGCAGGGTATAGTGCGCGCGGCTGTGGGCCGCGGAGAGGATGAAGGGGGGTAGGGACATGGTGGATGGACAGGAGGCGAGTTGCCACCGACCGACCTCCACTTGAATGTCGTCGTAATCATGGAATGCAAGCAGCCGCGTCACATATGCATCTCGCCTCAGCTCTACTTGCATCTACCCCGCCCTGCCATCAGCCCCGCCACGCGTCGAGCGCTCACAGCGCTGCCTTGGGCGCCTTGCGCGCGTCGTCGCCCGAGACGAGGATGCACGCGTGGTCGCCGAGCACGACCTTGTCGGTGATGCCGCGCGCCTTGACAAACTCCCAGATCTCGTCGCTCTCCGCGCCCGGCTGGAACCACAGGGCGTGCGGCTCAGCCTCGGGCCGCCGCGGCTCGGGGAAGAGCGTGTGCATCATCTTGATGCCGAGGGCTGGGTGCAGAATCACGCTGATGGACGTGTTTGCGAGGTCGGGGAGCTGGGTCTGGGGTGTGAGTAAGGGGCAGGGTGCGAGCAGATGGGGAGCAAAGGTGCAGGGGTAGGTTGACGAGGGGAGAAAGAATGAGGAGGGTGGTGGGAGTGATGAGAACGGCAAGAGAGGTGACAGAAGAGGCGTTGTTGTCGCACGACGGAAACGCCCCCATCCATTGCTCTCACACCTTCACCTCTCTCTCTGCTGCTGCCTGCCTAGCTACCTAGCCGACCCCGATCAACACTCACAACATCATCAACCACCTTCTGCCCCAGCACGCCCTTCTTATTGTCGTAGCCGTCGCGCGGCGCGCGTACACCTGTGACTGGCAGCTTCCTGTCCGTGTACCACTCCAAGACCTTGTAGTCGAAGCGCGAGTCGTCCTCGAGCACGCGGCCGACGACGGCGAACCGTGGCGCGGACATAAAGTGCTCGGCGTGGGGTGGGATTTCAGTGAACATGGTGTTTGTGGTGGGCGGGACGTGGGATGCAGGTTGATGAGCAAGGTCAAGAAACTCTCGGCCCGGCCGAATCGGCTATCCGGTGGAGGTGGCCGGTCCGCTCTCCGACTCCAAACCACTCCGCGTCCACTAGTCATCGTGTACATGTCTACTACTCTACGCCGCCACCGGAGCAGACGCACCCGCGCCCGCGCCCGCAGTCGCACCTGCACCCGCACCTGCACCCGCCAAGAGCTGCTGGTAGTGGTGCCCTCTGTACACGTAGGCATCCTCGGTCGTTGGCTGCGTCTTGTCGTTCATCATCGCGACCAGCTTCTGGAACTCGGGGTCAGAGTCGACGTGCTCAAAGTTCCACAGCTTCCACGACGTGCCCTCGGCCACCTCATCCTTGCGGCGTTGCCGCTGCTCGTTCTCAATAAGGCTCTTCTCCCGGCCAGCCGTCTCAAAGTCGCCACCGCGGATGCCGTTGGCCACCTTCTGCCACAGGAAGCGGCTCTCCCACTGGCCCTGCTCGGTGATGGGCCGAACAGTGATCTCCTCCTTGGGTGTGTCGGCGTCGTAGAACACGGGGCCCTTGGTCGAGCCAACATAAGACACGCCAGTCCACTCGCCCTCAAAGGTCTGGACGGTGCGAGACCCCTTGGTCATCTTGGCCTTGAACATGTGTGCCTTGCCCGAAAAGTATCCCTTGCCCTTGTAATCGATCTGAGCACCGTAGCCAGTGCTGCTCTGGATCGCCGACGAGTCGGTGAGCTCAATGTACGGCGAGCCCCACACGATGCCGTCGATGCGAAGTTTGGGAAGCGTGATGAGGTACATCTCCTGCTTGCCCGTCTTCTTGGGAGTCACGTAAAGCAATGCGTGACCCGACTGCTTGACGTGGATCGACGTGCCCGAGAACGACGTCTTCTGGCCCGAGTGACCCTGGAGGGCGACACCTGCCTTCTTGTTCTCGATGTAGCTGGGGTGGGTCAGCATGTGTTCATCTGCTGCGACGCACTAGGCGGTAATAGGAGGGTGGTGCGACACCTGCTCCGAGACCAAGATGGTCTCGCCGCGACCCTCGACGTCGGGCCAAGACCCGTAGAAGAGCTCGCCAAGAACGGGGTTGAGAGGCTTCTTCTCCGAACCCATCTTCTCGTTACGAGTCTGATGTTAGCCGGAGCCTCAGCGAAGCGGGGATGATGCCGTGCCGCCAAGAAGTGCACGCTCCATTGCACAACTCACGGTGTACTGGCCCTTGAGAGTCGCGATGAACCAGAGAAGGACACGCTCCATGCGGTCCTCCTCGGTCTCACCCTCCGAGATGTCGGCGAAAAGCTCGGGGTGCTCGGCCCAGTAAGCGGGGAACTCGGTAAGCGACGTGGGCGAGAGGATGACTAGGGGTTGCCAAGCGGGGTGAAGAATGTTGTGTTGTGATCATGGCGCACAGACGCGGGGGGAGCAATGGCACGATCAGACGCCAGGAGACGAAGCGTTAATGTGAGCCGTGCGATAAGACGTGGAACGAGGATGTGAGGCCAACAACAATAAGAAAGAGGGTCAGCATTGGCATATGGGTGCAGTGTGGGCCGAGTTGGGCAACAGTGGAACTTACATGGAGGGGCAGTCATTGAGCTGAGGTCGCCAGTCATGTGGGCGAGGCTCTTGATGAAGCTCGCCCATCCTGCCTTCTGGTCCTGAGGGACGTCGGCGCCTTTTGAACCCATCAAAGATGAGCGGCGGGCGCGTTTGTGCCGAAGGTGTAAGAGAGTAATGGTGAAAGATGTTGTGGGGGGGTAGATGCGGGCGTGCCAAGTGAAGGAGTGGAGTATTGGTGGTGAATGTTGATGTTTGTTTACGAGTCGAGGTCAGGAATGAAACAGAAAGACGACAATAATGTTGACCAGAAAGGTGAAAGAGCAGAGATGGTGCGTTGTCGCGATGTCGCGATGTAGCGGGTGTCAGTCCAAGTCGCTCGGGATGCATAGTAGCTGGGACGCGAGTGTTCCGGGGCGCACGGGAA